AACAGATGTTAGAAGGTAACTACTTTGTCCCGATTTTCCCTCCTTGGCAAGCACACTGTCAAAGGTGGAGGGCGGGGAGGGGAAGGTCATTCTGGCCACCCTGGGGGCTCAGAGGCAGGAAGGAAGGTGACAGGAAGGTGGCCTCCCGAGTGGGAGCCTGAGAGGCACAGGGGAGAGACCTCGCGGGCACGCGGAGCAGCAGGTGGTGAAGGCGAAGGTCACGATGGTGGTAGGGAGCCCCTGAAGGGTGGCAGGCCCCCAAGGGAGACCCAGCAGAGTCCAGTTCTGGAACCATCTGGAAGGGGGTCTGCAGGTGAGAAGGGAATGAAAGCAGGGGCCCTTGGCGTAAGGGGGAGAGTGTTTCCCTGCCCTCCTGCAGAGCAGACCCTGGATGTGTGGGTGTTCCTTTCCCAGAGGACGGGGATTCGAAGCTGAAAGTTCCAGGCTTCCAACCACAGTTTGGTCTTCCTGGGTACCAGCCCCATCCTGAAGCTGCCTGGTAGCCTGCTGAGAGCCCCCTCATTAGGACAAGGGATGCTCCTGTCACCTAGGAGACTCCAGGGGATTTAGGAGCTCTGTGTTAGGACCTGGGCTCAGGGACCAACTATTAGAACAAAAGTTGCTGCTCCTAGCACCTCCTTCCTTAGGATATCCCACAGGCTTTAGGAGCTCTGGCCAGACTAAAATACATATTTATTATATCACAACAGTCACTGATTGTTGGCTGTGGCAGGAGATGGGGGGTGGTATTTGGGACTCTGATAGTATTTCCTACATTCAAAAGCATTTTCTTAGGAATTTTAATTTTCACACAACACTGCAGGGTTTCAGAAAATCCCGGTGTCGCTCACAAGTCGCTGGCGGGGCCAGCCCGAGGGGTCCCAGCTGCAGACCCTGCTCCCGGCGAGCCAGGGCCGGTCTCTCCTCCTGCGGGGGCTGAGCGTGGCCTCATCCCTCTGAGCTCCTTTCAGGTGGAGCAGGTTGTTGACAGGATGAAGACACGTCAGTGCAGATCCCCTCCGAGCAGCTGCAGGCACTTGGTGTGGGATCTGCGTCTAATTGAGAAAAGCACCAAGCGCCTCTCTCCTGAGAAACACACTTCCGACCCCCGCAAAGCTCATTGAACGAACAGCTTGATAGGGACCTGGAGAAAACAGCTCGATAGGGACCCGCAGGTACCTTGGGGGTCACCGTATCCCTAAGATGACCCTCTTTTAAGGTTTTTATCACATCCCCCGAGTAGCTGGAGCCCGGTCTGGAGGATGGAGGAGGGCAGTCCGGGGGCCTGGGGTCATCTGTCCCCAGCGAGGTCAGGGTAGGAGCTGGAGGAGGCCCAGTGGCCTTGGCCTTGGCTTCGTTGGGCCGAGATGGTCTACTGGTGTGGCGACCAGAAAAATCTTCCAATTACATGGTCCTGCTAAGTATTTAGAATCACAAATGCCGGGCAGCCCTGGTGGCGCAGTGGTTTAGCCCTGCCTGCAGCCCGGGGTCTGATCCTAGAGACCCAGGATCGAGTCCCGCGTCGGGCTCCCTGCATGGAGTCTGCTTATCCCTCTGCCTGTGTCTCGGCCTCTCAGTCTCTCTCTGAATAAATAAATTAAAAATCTTTTAAAAAAATAGAATCACAAATGCCTGATTAAGAACCTCCATCAACAGGAACTGGAGGGTATTATGCTGAGTGAAGTAAGTAAATTGGAGAAAGACAAACATTACATGTTCTCATTCATTTGGGGAATATGAATAATAGTGAAAGGGAATATAAGGGAAGGGAGAAGAAATGGGTAGGAAATATCAGAAAGGGAGACAACATAAAGACTCCTAACTCTGGGAAACGAACTAGGGGTGGTGGAAGGGGAGGAGGGCGGGGGGTGGGGGTGAATGGGTGACAGGAACTTGACGGGATGAGCACTGGGTGTTATTCTGTATGTTGGCAAATTGAACACCAATAAAAAATAAATTTATTTAAAAAAAACCTCCATCAACAATTAATTATCTGTATTTGTCATTGAAAAGTTCCATTATCTCTAATTAGAGGAAGAAACCTCATAATTATGGAAAATAGCTCTCCTTAATGTGCCCGTGACTGTTTCTCTGAAACCCATTTCGTAGTCCAACATGACTTTTCCAGCAGGGAGCCCTAACGCCCCTCCCCGAAGGACACCCTCAGTGCCCCCCAAAATACCTGGTCCCCCCGGAGCCAACCGCGTTTACAGGGGGCTGGTAGAGGCGCCGACCTTGCTGCCATTTGGGTTTTGTGTTTTAATACCACTTCTTTCCAACAGGTGCCACCTGATCTAGTTGAAAACTCATGGTCCTATAAAAAGCTGTGCGCGTCTCCCTGGGTCTGTACCCCTTTGTTGCTCAGCTCACCCCCAGGGTCACCCCCTTTTAAGTGTGTCCACACCCTCCCGGTGTTTTCTGTGGTGAATATGAACGCGTGGACTGTATGCTCGTATTTCTCTCTTACACTGTGGAGGTCCACAGCCTCCTTGCTCCTGGCACTTAGCACCGATCCTGGAGCTTGGGCCGCATCTTTGTTACAGATGCAGAATGTTCCCGGGGAGGCCGGGGAAGCTGACCTCAGCTGTTCCCTGCAGAGAGACACTCGGCCTTTCCGGTCTCTGCTGTTAGGAGCGAGGCTGGTTTGCAGGAGCGTTAGTGACCTTCGGTCGTGGGCACACGCACACATCGAAACCACGCTGAGCTGCGATTTCTCCCCTGCCGAGGGCAGAGGCGCTGGGTGTCGAAGGCACTGCCAGGTGCCCTCCGGGGCTGTCCCTTCGCAGCCCGGCCTGTGATGGATGAGAGGCCTGTGCTTCCAGCTGGCACAGTTACAGCCCAGTGTGGTTTTCATTTGAGTTTTCTTTTTATGGTAAAGGTGAATATCTCTTACATTTTTTTTTCTGGAAACTGCACATGGCTACCCTCTTGTGCATCGTTCTGGTAGTCTTTCCTCAATTTCTGGGAACTTCATATGTTGGGGAGATTGAGTTGCAAATACATCTCCCCAGAGTGTCATTTGTCTTTTGACTTTGCTTAGAGGTTTCGTTTTTGTTTTTCCTTGCAATGCAGAATTTTCTCCATGTGATTCATATATATGTCTGCCTTCTGGCCTCTGCGTTTTGAGTCATAGCTGAGGGCTCATGTTTGATTCTGATACTGTTTGGGGTCGAGAATTGCCACTTTGGTTATTTATCTTGTGTACCGGTTGAGGTTTGGATCTAATTTTATCTTTTTCCAGATGGCTCCTCAGTTGCCTGACACTATTTTGTCACGAAAGTGTCTTTGCCCTTGGTGACATGGGGGCCTGGCATACCCAGACTGCCGGTCAGTATCTCAGTCTGTCTTTGGACCTTCTGTCTCTCCATGGGTCTGGCCGTCTGTCACTGACTAGCACTACCCGGCTTAGATTATTGAGGCCCCACAGTGTGTTTTATTTGTTTTTAATTAATTAATTTTTTTAAAGATTTTATTTATTCATGAGAGACACAGAGACATGGAGAGAGGGGGCCAGAGACACAAGCAGAGGGAGAAGCAGGCTCCACGCAGGGAGCCCGATGCGGGACTCGATCTCGGGTCTCCAGGATCATGCCCTGGGCTGAAGGCAGGTGCTCAGGGGCTGAGCCACCCAGGCTGCCCCCACAGTGTGTTTTAATTCCTTTTATGGCTCTTTTTCAGAGGTTTCCTGCTAGCCTTGCTGAAAAGTCTGTTGGCCCATCCTATGTACATTTAGCTAATGTTATAACACTGGTGATAACAGAAGTACTCCTGTCCCCCAGGCCCCCCCGGCGTAAACAATAGAACAGCATCCATTCCTTTGAACCCCATGTATCCCCCTCCCTACCACCCAGGAGTAGACATCTACGTACCCACCCACGAGCAATATTTCGAGCACCTACCGCGTGGCAGCCTCTGTTCTCGGTCCCGGGGAACCCAGCCGTGATTGCGACACCGAGCCCCGTGTCCCCTGGGAAGCTGCTTTCTAGCGGAGGAGACAAGTGTGGGTGGAGGGCTTTAGAAAGTGCTAGTGGTCAGGAGGGAAGCCCACCAGATGGGGCAGGAGAGGTCCCAGTGAGATGGCTGTGGCTTACGCATGTATTTGATTGGGGCTGTAACTGGGAGGCCCGGGAGCCTGGCTGCGATGGCGACATGGAGCCAAGGCTCATGGGAAGGTGGCGGCAGCCCTGCTTGTCTTTGGTGTCACATTCTTGGGATTTACCCAGTTGACACCTGGGGCTCCAACCCACAGTTCCCCAAGTGGAGAGGGTCTCCTAACGACCCCCCTGCAGCTCAAGGGGCCCCCCCAGATCTGCGATGCTGTTTCAGGAATTGCTGGGAATGTGTCCTCTCCGGGTGCGGCCGGGCTAAGCCCCATCAGGACCGTGGCCCCGAACCAAGGCTCGGCCCGCAGGTGGACCGCGGCCCTCCCGACCCACCAACCTTCTTTTTTCTTCTACACGTGATGGCACTGATTCTTAGCTCTTGGGCACTTCCTGAATTTTTTTTTTAAGATTTTATTTATTCATGAGAGACACAGAAAGAGGCAGACACAGGCAGAGGGAGAAGCAGGCTCCACGCAGGGAGCCCAATGCCTGATGTAGGACTGGATCCCAGGACTCCAGGATCATGCCCTGACCCGAAGGCAGGTGCTAAATTGCTGAGCCACTGGGGGATCCCCACTTCCTGGGGTTTAAAGATTACGCACCCATCTTAAGGTTCTCGGGGATGACAGCCACTGTGCCAGATAGGGAAAGCATCTGGCACCGTCCTCCTATGCTGTTCTCTGGGGCGGCCGGGGAGGTGGCCGGGGGCGGGGGAGGGTGTGTGGGCTGCACCACTCCAGTAGCCAGGTGGCCGTGACCAAGCTGTGCTGCTCTGGCTCAGCTCCAGGAGGACACCAGTCCAGGCTGAAGAAGGGCCCCAGGTCCCCAGGGAAGCCGTGTGGAGTCCCTCACCCTGGCGGACAGCACTGAGTCCCTGTCTTTTTGCTTCCATTCCAGGTCTAATGATGAACAGAGACCGGAGGGTTGGTTTGGTGAGTGCTGGCTTCTTTCCTTTGTTACTGCTGTGTGGTAGATGTAGCATCACAGTCATTTTAAAATCCTCCACAAGTGTCCGGTTCAGTGGCACTAAATACATTTGCAGTGTTGTACAACCAGCATAGCCTCCAGATTTTTCGTCGCCCCCATGACGACTCTGTACCCACTGATCACCAGCCCCCAGCCCCTGCAGCCACCGTTCTGTTTCTCTCTGTGAACTTGGCTGCTCTAGGGAGCTCGTGTAGGTGGACCCACGCAGTACGGGGCTCACGTGTCTACCTTATTTCACTTCACTACCGTCTCCAAGGCTCATCCATGTCATAGCAGGTGCCCAGACTGCCCTGCTCTTATGACTGAATAATACTCCTTTAGTGTGGATCTGTCCAGCCATCCACTGAGAGACACTCGGTTGTTTGCACCTTTGGGTTATTATGAAGCCTGCTGTGAACATGGGCGATGAGTATCAGCCTGAGTCCTTGCTTTCAGTTTTTTTGGTGATCCACCAAGGAGTGGAATCACTGGATCATGCAACAATCCTATGTTGAACCTTTTGAGAAACTGCCCAACTGTTTTTGCATCGGTGTCACACCCCCAGCAACGCACGGGGGTTCCAGTTTCCGTGCCTCTGACCAACGCTTGTACTTTTTCTTTTTTTCTTTCTTTTTTTTTGGGGGGGGGATGAGGTGGTGTACAGCCTCTTTCCAATCAGTGGTCCCTTATGGCAAGGGCTGAGGCCAAGGGAGAGGATCCACTGCCCTGCAGATCCCCGAGGTGAAGATGTCTCCCCAGCAGGGCTGGCAGGGGTCGGGGCTGCACCAGGATGTGCCCTGCATGTTGTGGGGGACAGAGGAACGCCAGCTGGGGGTGCTCCCAGCGCAGCAGCCAACCCCCGTCCTTCCACATGCCTCACATGTGTGTGCTCAGGCCATCCTTGCTGCAGCCCCAAAGGAGGGAACTATTGTCACCCACATTTCATAGGCCAGAAAACAGCCCAACGCCTTGTCCATGGTCAAGCAGCACCATGGGTGGGGGCTTGACACAAAAAACTGAAAAAACAAACCATTACTGACACACAGGTGCCCACAGAGCAAAATATAAATGCAGGGCCCACTGTTGCCACATCGAGGGCCGACTTGCAGCCCCATCTGTGTGTTTTCATGACTGTGTACATAGACACTGACACATTTTAGGGCTCTTGGGTTTTGTTGTTTAGGTTTTTATGGAAATGGTTGCAAATGCTTACTTACATGGATTAATGAAAGGCTGTGGGAGTGCAGGGAAGGCACCTGGGCAGCTGGGGGCGGGTGTGGACAGAGGAATTTCCTGGAGGATGTGGGACGCTTACTGGGATTGACATGGGTAGAAAAGGGACAGACTCTCCAGGTGCCTGCCATCGCCCAGAGGCTGGGAACGCTTAGTGCCCGTGGTGAGATGTTCTTGATGGAGGATATGAAGACCCCAAGGGGAGAGAGAGGCAGCATAAGAGGCCTGAAAGCCAGCAGGCATCCTGGAGCTGTGAGACAGGAGCACTTGCACAAACACAGCCACAGAGGCTGTGTGACCTTGGACAAGCCACTTGCCCCCTTGTCTTGTGCAGAAATAAAGTGCATTCATTCATTTATTCATCACTCCAGTTGGTTTAATGAACAGCTAGGAGGTGCCAGCCCCTAGGCCTATCTTTGTGGGGTTGCTGTGAAGACTACCTAAAGTCCATGTGTCAAGTGCCCTAGCGCAGACAGGGCTATCACTTTAGGTGCTCCCAGATGGTGCTCTTTTTTTTTTTAAGATTTTATTTATTTGACAGAGTCAGAGAGAATGCACAAGGAGGGGGAGGGGCAGAGGGAGAGGGAGAAGCAGGCTCCCCGCTGAGCAGGGAGCCCGAGTTGGGCTCAATCCCAGGACCCTGAGATCATGACCTGAGCCAGAGGCAGATGCTTCACTGGCTGAGCCATCCAGGTGCCCTCAGATGGTGCTCTTAATGAGATTGCTCAAGAGGGTAAAATGCTTTGCACATTTGAGATGCTGTCATTAGAGGTGGGAAGCTCTGGCCTCAACCACTGAGAGCTGTTTCCCAGGCCCAGGTGTGGACATAAGCCCTGGAGCAGGGCATCAGCCAAGGGGATGGGAATGTTTGAGTTTTGATTTTGATCTAACTGGGATCTGTTCTCAAGTGAGGTGTGAGGTAGGGATCCATTTTGATATTCTTTCCAGATCAGTAGCCAGTTGGTCCACTGCCAGTTACTGGGGGGTCCTCCTAACCACCAAGGCTCACTCCTCTGTGGTTTGTCCTCTGTGTGCTGGTCCTCAGGCTGGGAGCTTATTGCCAGATCCTAACCAGTGGGGTCCTTAGCGGCCCCCGTTGGAAAGCTTCCCTCCAGAGAGTGATTCCAGCTGGACTCCTGGCCTGAGCCGGCACCCTCCAGGCAACAGTGCAGGGCCCCGACTTTCACTGTCCCAGAGTGCAGGTTGTGTTGGATACTATTGGGGTCATTTGTAAACACCCCTTCCCTTTCTTAGGACCATGCCTTGTGCAGCACATTGCTGTTGTGCAGCAGGCTGCCCACTGATTGGAAATTCATGTTCGGGATGTAAACTGAATCACAAAAGATAAAAGTTCTAACATGGGTCTATCTCTGCACTCTCTTTGTTCCATTGATATTGTTGTCACCATTCAAGCCATACCACTTGTTTTATTTTATTTTTATTTATTATTATTTTTTTTCATACCACTTGTTTTAATTCCTATCTCTAATTAGTTTTGGTAGTTAGAACCAGTGCTCTCTCCTTGTTCTTCTACACATTTTCCTCGGCTTTTCTTGCATATCTTGACTTCCAAATGAAGTTTGGAATGATCAACTTATGTTAAAAACTAAATTGGGATGGGATGCCTGGCTGGCTTAGTTGGTAGAGCATGTGATTCTGGATGTTAGGGTCGTGAGTTCAAACCCCACGTTGGGCATAGCGCTTATTTAAAAATTTATATTGGGATGACTGAATTTGTAGCATGCTTTGGGAATTTAATTACTGTAAAATTATGAGTGGGTACCACCTAATTTACAGTAAAGGCATCACCTCAATATAGTGGGTGCCAGGCAATGGGTTATCCATATGGAAAAGTCTGATCCTAGACCCTTGCCTCACACTATATACAAAAATTAATTCAAGATGGATTGTAGGGACGCCTGGGTGGCTCAGCGGTTGGGCGTCTGCCTTCCGCTTCGGTTGTGATCCCAGGTCCTGGGATTATTGAATCCCAGATCGGGCTCTCTACAGGGAGCCTGTGTCTCTGCCTCTCTCTGTCTCTCATGAATAATAAATAATAAAATCTAAAAAAAAAATGGATTGTGGGTCAAAATATGAAAACAGTAAAGGTTCTAATGAACCCTGGGAACAGCTTTATGACCTTGAAGTAGATAATATAGTAGGACCCAGGATGCCAAGATCATGACCTGAGCTGAAGGCAGATGCTTAACTGAGCCACCCAGGCACCCCAAAATAGACAATATAGTTTAAATAGAACACACATATGTGAATCAATGAAAATACTGATCAGTAGAGCTTTACTAAAATTTAGAATTTCTGTTCCTCAAAAGACACAGAGAATGAAAAGTCAAGCCACAGACTAAAAGAAAATATTTAAATGCATAAGCCTGCTAAAGGACTCCTATCCAGAATATATAAAGAGCTCCTAGAAATCAGTAAGAGAACCACCTCATTTTTAAAAACAGGCAAAAGATTTTATTTTTTTTTTAATTTATTTTTTTTTTTTTTTATTTATGATAGTCACAGAGAGAGAGAGAGGCAGAGACATAGGCAGAGGGAGAAGCAGGCTCCATGCACCAGGAGCCCGATGTGGGATTCGATCCCGGGTCTCCAGGATCGCGCCCTGGGCCAAAGGTGGGCGCCAAACCGCTGCGCCACCCAGGGATCCCCAGGCAAAAGATTTTAATAGGCACTTCACAAAAAAGGCTATCCAAGTGGCCAAGCAGCACATGAAAGGTGCTCCTCATCATTAGTAATTAGGGCAATGCAAATCAAAACCCCGGTGAGATATTGCTACACCTCCACCAGAGGGGTGTAGAAACTGGTGTCAAAATTGAAAGGCCTGACAACACCAGTCTTTTTTTTTTTTTTTTTTTTTTTTTTTTAACACCAGTCTTAATGGGGATGTGGTGCCACCCGAATTCTCCACTGCAGGAGGAAGTATAAATTGATGCAACCCTGTTGGAAAATTGTTTGGCAGGAACTGCTAGGCCAAAATATAGGCAAATCATGTGAACGAGCCAGTAATTCCACTCCTAGGTATATACCTGGCAGTAATGAGGGCTGTGTGCACAAAAGACATGTGTGAGGATGACCATAGAGGCTTCATAATAGTCCCAAACTGGAACTTACCCATAATGTCTTTCAACAGTAGAATGCATAAATTGTTATATATTCACACACACTGGAGCAGGAATGAAAAACCAAACACACAGCAAAAGAGCACTCTGTGATTGCATTTACCTGAAGTTCAAAGAGAGGCAGATGGATGGGCTGGCAGTCTGAAGAGTGGTGTCCCTGGAGAAAACCCCAGGAGGGAGCCTTTGAGCTGGGTCCCACGGAGCATCACTAAATGAAAGGCCATCCTGAGCTGACAGGTAATCTGGGGACTTTGCCATAAGTTACACTTGAATTAGGAAAGATACAGATCAGGGAATGAAAGTGGACTAGAGGGATCCCTGGGTGGCGCAGCGGTTTGGCGCCTGCCTTTGGCCCAGGGCGCGATCCTGGAGGCCCGGGATCGAATCCCACGTCGGGCTCCCAGTGCATGGAGCCTGCTTCTCCCTCTGCCTGTGTCTCTGCCTCTCTCTCTCTCTCTCTCTCTCTCTCTCTGTGACTATCATAAATAAATAAAAAAAATTTAAAAAATGGACTAGAGATAGGTTAGAGGAGAGGAGGGTAAAAGCACAGAAAAAAGAGAAGAAAGGGCACAGCCAGCAGCCCTTGCTTTTAAAGGCTCCCTTGGAGAAATATCCTCATACTGTGGCTTTGAGGGAACCGCCGCAAAACCCCAGACTTGGTCACATCTGGAGACATGAGCAGAGGTGACATCCCTGTCCCTTCCTTGAGGACCAACGTATAATTGAGTTGAGGGCCCGACTGAGTCCCCAGGCAGAGGACCCGGGTCCTGGGTCCTGGCTGGAGAAGCACATCGGGGGAGGCTGAGGCTGGGAGTGGGAGCAGATGCCTGAGCCTAGCACTGGCGCCATCTCCTGTTTGCCACTGTGCACCTTTAGCCTCTCCGGTCCCCTGGAAAGCCCTATTTCAATCTGCCCATTAGCCCTGGTCCAGGGAGCTCCTCTGGGGGCGGGAGCCACCTCCATGCTTTTTCCTTAGGCCACGCTCCGCCAGGAGAGGACGCGCAGCATGTCCGGGTGCCCGGTAGATCCTCATTCATTGGGCCTGTGGATGATCTGGAAATGTCTGTTTCTGGAAGAGCACCCAGGGCCATTTTTGCCAAAGGAGCAGGAGAAGGCTGGGAGGTCAGGGAAGATCAAGGGCAATGTGCTCTCTTGGCTTCCCCTGTGATGGGGGGGGTGTTTCCATAAGAATTTTAATTTATCGCCAATGGTGGAGTATTGGGCATGACCTAACAGTCGGTCCTCATGCGAGCGTTGCTGAATTAATCCACTTAGTGCACGTTTATCGAGTTCCTCCTCTGTCAGGCCTTGAGTTCTGGGACTCTCCAGTAGAAGTGTAATATGAGCCTCATGTAATTCCACTTCTTGCAGTTAGCAATATTAGACTAAAAAGAAATAGAATCAAATTTAATATTTTTAATTCAGTATACACAAGATGTAATCAGTATAAAAACGTGAGGCATTTGCCATTTTTTTTATACTGTCTTCGAAATCCACTGTGTAGTTTACAGCGCATCTCGATTTGAACTAGCCCCGTTTCAGGCACTCCTAGCCACATGTGGCTGATGGCTACCATGTGGGACAGCATGGCCCTAGACCCCTACAGGGTCATCATACAGGGTGGCCTGGGCTCCAACAGAGGCCAGCAGGGGCTGGGAGGACATCAGGGCGTATTCACTCCGTACAGTGGCTCAAGCACCCCACTTTCTCTTGGAAATGGTCTGTGCACATAGTGGACTCTTCTTGGCAGAGTCTGGAGCCTGGCCTGGCTGGGTGACCTGGGGATGGTGGGAGGGATGAGGCGCCACAGCGAATCCTAAAATCTAGGCCCGGAAGCTGCCCGGGTCACGTTTCTGCATCTTAGCCTCACAACCACACAGGGATGTAAACCACCCATATCTGGGAATTGCTGTCTGGCTGGGCAGCCATGAGCCCAGAAAGAGGGAGAAGAGATTTGAGGGGGAAAGGCAGGGTCTCTGGCTCATGGGGGTTAGAGACGCCTCTGGAGGTGACGTGGTTGGGTAATGGACTTGGTCCTGGGGCAGAGGGCCACGGTGGCGCCACATGACCCCTGCTGTCCCGAGGCAGCCCTGGCGCCTTGTGGAGAGAATTCACTCTGGTTTTGTCTCTGCAGGTGGAGTACAGCGTCCCCTTCCTGACCAGGGAGCTGCTGGTGCACTCCATCAAGCAGCTGCAGGCCCAGGTCCTGCTTATCAAGTAAGTGAGCCACATGCCCAAGAAGAGGCTCAGGCCTCCCCCATGAGGTTTCAGTTCTGGCAGGAGGCCAGGCTGCTCGCCCTACCAAATCCTATAGCTACTCCAGACCCCTGCGGTCCCCGCCTTCCAGCACCCAGCCAGAAGCAATCCTGCGGCCTCACCGACCTCCTTTAGTGAGGCTGATCCCTCTCCACTCCACCACGGGATGCCCCAGGCAGGAACTGTGACCTCTGGGGACATGGGTCTCTGGTGCTGAGCACAGGGCTTTCAGAAGCAGACCCATTACAAATCCAGACCACAATGAGGTACACTGCACGCCCGCTAAGATGGCTAGACAAAGTCTGAGAACAAGTGTTGGCGAGGATGCAGAGGCCCCAGAACCCTCGCTGTGGGACTGCAAAATGGCACAGCCACTTGGAAAACAGCCCGGCAGCTTCTCCAGCCGTTACCGTCAGACCTAGCAGTTGTGCCCAGCACAAGTCCACACCACGTGAACGTGACCACGCAGAGCGGCACTGCTCACAGCAGCTCAAAGGTGGAAACCCTCCAAACACCTGTCAGCAGACAAGCAGAATGTGGCGCATCCACACAGTGGGCTACGTTTTAGCCAGAAGAGGAGCAAACTTCTATGTGCTTCGTGCATGAAACTGTAGCTGTTTGCAGGACTCTATCTTAAGTATGTAAAAAACAGAGTGGTACATGTTAAAGGGGTGAAACCAAATCTCAGTAAAGGTGTGAAGAGACAAAGCACGGACCCAAGCCTTGTGCTACTTAGAGGCCCAAGCCTTGTGCTACTTAGAGGCGGTGGCCGCAGGCAGGTAGGTCTCCCTCCCTCCCCACCCACCTCCCGAGGTAAACCCGCAGCTTGTGGGCCACCATGAGCCCCAAGACAATGCAGGCACCCAATTGTGCAAAAGTCAAAAGCAAGCCCAGGACGGTCTCCTCTTACCCTGGAAGCCAAGGCAGGGGGTAGGCACTGCAAGGAGGCCACAAAGTGAACCAATCCTTTTACTTTCCAGAGCAAGCCAAGGCTATTTTAACGTGGAAAGAGATGTCACTGACAAGAGTGTCATGCTTTTGGTGCTAGACACGCTGAGATCTGTCCTAAAAGAGGTAGGTGCATGAGGCTCAGCCAGGGTGACGTCTAGGAGGGTCCTCACCCACTCCTCGGCTTGCATGTGGACCTCTGGTCTGGCCCCGGGTCTGCTGGGTGTGGTCAGCCCCTGCAGCCCTGGGTTCACATGGAACTCGGCACAGCAAACAGTTTGGTAGTTTCCCAGTATTATTTTCCACACACATTCCCTCAGCCCATGGCCCAGCTTGGCTAGAGGCCACCCTAGAATTTCTAGGGTGACCAGATGACCAGTCTCCTCAGTGGGGGCTGGGACTCAGACTTTGTCCCTGAGAGAACCTGGCACTTGGTGACCATCACCTGCTGCGAACACCTGACCCCGGGGCTCTGCAGACATCTCAGCATCACCACCAAAGGCAGGCAGTGCCTTCGTGTCTTCCACAGAGGATCAAGTTTGAAAGACTCTGTATTCTTTTTTTAAGCCCTGACAATTCTCAGAACCAGCAGGGCTCTTGACTGCTGGCCCCGTTCCCAGCCTAGCTCTATAACCTCACAACTCAGAATGGCCCAGAAGCCCAGGGTTTGGAGCCCTCCTCCCCCCAGTCAGACCTTTCTCCCTGGCTCTGAGCCAGGCCCCAAGGAGCAGCAGGTCACTGCCCCGGGGGGAACCCTTCAAAACCTCTGTAAGGCAGCAGCCCCGGGAAGGCCCCAGCACAGCAGAGCCCCTTTACCTGGGCTGCACCTGACCAAGCATGCCCTCCCCTCCGCAGCAGTTCCAGTTCATGGAAGTCCCGGGCAACCACTACGTACACCTGAACCAACCCCAGAATGTGGCTGACATCATCAGTGCCTTTCTGCAGAGCAAGGAGAGGCTCCCACACTAGCTGTAGCCTGGACCTGGGGCTTTGGAGGCCTTGTGCCCGTCACTCCCATCCGGATTCCAGGTGTGGTGGGTGGGGACACAGGGCAAGAGTCTTTTAACATGTTGACCTCACGGGGGAGACACTGCTTGAACTTTGGGGTGTTGTCTGTTTTGTGGCTGATAATCTGCACCAAGCTGGAGGTGGGCAGAGGAAGGAGTGGCTAGGTGGCTGCCCAGCTGGATGGAAAATAAATGTTCTTGTATTCTCACTGCTTCTGAGGCTGTTCACTCCCCATGGGGACTTTTCCGTGGAGGGAAGGGAGAAGAGAGTCCAGGAACAGGCTGGGAACACAGACCAGAAGGAAGCGAGCGTGGCCCGGGTGGGTGGCTCCCTGTGAGCCAGGCCCTCATGCTGGACCGGCCTCGCCAGCACTGGGCCCCAACCCTGTTGAAGTTCCAGAACCAAGGGAAGACACTGTCCTTCACCCCACCCGTGTGGGCTCAGATTGGAGACGAGTGTTCCAGGCCTCTCCACGGGGCCCCCGGATCAGCTCGGCTCAGTAGGGTCGGAATTTGCGCTGGGCCCGCATCAGTTCAATCCTCTGCTTGTCCTCCTCGAACTTCTTGCGCAGCTGGGCTAGATCTGGGGGAAGGGGAGAATGGGGCTGTCAGTCAGTGTGGCCCCACTGGCCTCTGCTCTAATGTGATCTGGGCCCCTGGGAGACAGACTAGCCTACAGGCCCAGAGGCAGAAGCTCAAGCCAGGGCAGCACTGCCTGAGGTTTGAGAATAAACTCACCAGAAGAGTGAGCACAGAGCAAACAAGACACCTGTTCCCTTAGTACCCCCCACCACACACCCACGATGAAGGCAGGTGGCTATGGGGGTGTGGAGGGCCCATCTCCTGGCCTCTGCCTGTCAGGAAGTAAAGGGACTCCACCCTCAGGCCACAGATTCAGGTGGCAGCTCTAGTCACCATGTGACCAGGTCAGAGGAGTACAGAAGGGGGCACGGGAGCCCATAGGGAGAGTGGATGGAGGCCTGCCGTCGGCGATTCCAGAGAGGAGAGCAGGAGTCAAAGTGCCGACAGAAGGTGCCAGAGTGGGGAGCAGCAGCAAGGCAGGAGGGTGAGGTGCCTGGGTGGCAGGTCACCATCGCTGCAGAGCCCGTGCCCCTGGCGAGGCCCAGGCCAGAGCCCAGGAGGCCACCCTGCAAACGTGGAGAAATAGGGGCACAAGCTCACCATCATCACGAGTTGTGAGGTGGCCACAGGCGATCAGGTCCTCGCCCTAACACACTGCACCCAAGGGTACCTGCCCCACTCCCCACATGTGTACACATTCTCTCTCTCTCTCTCTCTCTCTCTCTCTCTCTCTCTCTCACACACACACACACACACACACACACACACACCTGGCAGCGGCCCCTCCCTGTCCCCACAGTGAGCTCTGCAGCCTGGCCCTTGCTGGAGGCCAACAGGTTCCAGCACCAACTGCTCAGGGGTCTGCAGGTAGTCCTACACCCCAGGTGTGTCTGAAGCCTCTCCACAACCCAGGGGTGAGCAACAGGGGGACCCTAACTCCAGAGCCTGTCGGGAAGCCTGTGCCCCAGGACACCCCCAGGCCCGCCCCTGGGAGCTCTGCACTCCGGCCAGGGCTGGCAGCAGCAGCAGCCTTGGGCCTCGTGCACAGGTCCCAGGCGCCAGGGGAAGTGGGGCTGAAGCCCCGGGGCTGGGAGTGCTCCCTTACGCTCCATCTTGGTCTCTCGGTGCTGCCAGGCGTAAAAGTTGAGCAGCTCCTTGCGGGCACGCTTCCGTCTCTCCTTCTCCAGCACCCGCAGGCTGGCTGCCTCTGTCCGGGGCAGTACAGGCCGCCGACCCCGACGGGTCACCTTCACCCAGCCCTCCTCGTCCGGAACCCCTTCCTCCTCCTTAGCCTTAGCCTCCTCCTGCAAGGAACAGACAGCGTGATGGGCAGACCCTTGGGACCCGCCCTGCAGCCTGGGGTGCTCTCCCCACCCTCCCTCCTGCACCCACAACCACCCTGGGCACCCCTGCCACCTGCTGTGCCCTCTCCCTCCCAGTAGCTAAGCATAGGGGGTGTGGGGCACAGAGATGCCAACACTGCCTTCTCCTCCCTCAGAGGGTTTCCTACAGACCACTTAGAGACTAGATGTCACCCGGCCAGGTGACGCAGGACTCAGCAGGGAACAAGGGAGCCTGAACTCCCAATCTCCACTGGCCAGCTGGTCCAGAGCGACACAACACTGAGGACACCACCGCCCCCACGGAAACCCCACCTCAGCTATCCTCTTGTCATACGCCTCCATGAACGTGTCCACTTCGACCCTCAAGGTCTCAGGGTCCGGCACGGAGTCTACGTAGTTGCTGATCCACTCTGAGGGCGGGAAATGAGGCATCCTCAGGCCTGACACTCGGGGCACATCCTGCCCAGACAGTCGGGACCCCCTTCCACCGGAGGTTCATATGCTGAGGAAGGTTCCAGTGGTGGCAAGCAGGGCTGTCCCCTCTGCCCACCCCGAGCTCAGCCTCCCACAGGCCACTCTCAGGGTGAGTGGACCCAGCAGAACTGCCCACAATGCTTCCCCCACCAACCCGGGGGGGAACCAGGTGCCCAACACTGTGCGGTACTGACTGTGAATGCCACTCTTCACGGGGTGACTCTCTGTCGAGACCACTAAGGGGCCCTTCAGGACTATGGCTGCAGACACCCCACCTGGCTTCTGGAACACCACGTAGGCTACCTGGAAGCCCTGGGGGAAGGAGAGAGGTCAGAATGCCAGGACGTCCCCAGGTCCCTGGCACAAGGGCTCCCACCTGCCCTCAGCCTGACTTGTCGCTGGACCAGGGGACGCGCATTGGGCTGTCCTGGACATGAAGCTAACTGGGAAGTGGTCTGTAATCCTGAGGAGGGACGGCCACATTCCCAGTTTTCAAACTTCTGCTAAAAGCGACTGAGGGGAGGTGGGACACCAGGACCTCCCTTCCAGTTACAAGGGGGACTCAGTGGGAAGCGAGGTCACCACGTACCACGAGGACACAGCACACAGTAGCCCCCACTGTGCTCTGCCAGGAGGCGTGGGCTTGGGACGGGGAGCCAAGACCCGGCCGTGGGGAAGCATGTGGGGAGCGAGGGGGCCTCCTGGGCGGCAAGCAACATGGTCGCTGAGCTCTTACCCAGGACGATGGAAAGAGCTGGACAAGAAGCTAAAGGATGTGGCAAATCCAGGGAAGGGCCGCTGCTTACTGGCAGGCATCCTCAACCACACGCAGCAAGGACTGGCCTAGAACCGCCACCCCAACACCACCTCCGCCACGCACCCTGGGGACACAGCACCAGCTGCACCCCGCGCCCCCATGCTAGCAGACCGCAGTACTCGGAGGCTTACTGGAACAGGTGTGGGGTCAAAAAACTTCGACTTTGGCTCCTTTGGGCTGTCGCCGAGGTCGGGCTTCTCCTGTAATTCCACAGACTGGACGGCACCGCAGGGGGAGAAGAGGCGGGACAGGCACTCCTGCCGAGGCCCGGGGGGAAAGCGCAGTGTGAGGCCTCAGGGGGCCTCCCTCTGGCCAGGTAGCACTGCTAGGGGATCGCGGCCCCGGAAGGTCTCAGAGTCCAGGTCTGCCCAACTCGGGGGCACGCACACAGGCCTGAGCAAGCCACACCCTCCTCCGCCCAGTCACCACCCTGCCCTCCCACAGCCCCCAGACAACCTTGGGAAGTTTCATATTCCAAACTCTAAGTTAAAAAAAAAAAAAAACCTCCAGGGGCACCTGGGTGGCTCTGTCGGTTAGGCATCTGCCTTCAGCTCAGGTCATGATCTAGCATTCTGGGATCAAGCCCTGCGTCAGGGTCCCTGCTCAGTGGGAAGCCTGCTTCTCCTGCTTGTGCTCACTCTCGCTCTCGCTCTCAAATAAAATTGGGGCACCTGGGTGGGGAGTCTGCTTTGCTCTCTCCCTCCGCCTGCCGTTCACCTTGCTTATGCACTCTCTCTCTAATAAATAAAATCTTTTTTAAAATAAATAAATCTTTAAAAAATCCAAAAACAGGGATCCCTGGGTGGCTCAGTGGTTTAGCGCCTGCCTTTGGCCCAGCACATGATCCTGGAGTCCTGGGATCGAGTCCTGTGTCGGGCTCCCTGCATGGAGCCTGCTTCTCCTGCCTGTGTCTCTGCCTCTCTCTCTCTCTCTCTCTCTGTCTGTCATGAATGAATAAATAAAATCTTTGGAAAAAAAAAAACAAAAACCACCAAACACACCTCCACTGGCCAGGAGACGTGGAAGGGAGGAGACCTAGTGCATGACAGAATTCAGATATAAGCTTTTTGGCTTTATGACAGGACCCTGCTGGAAGAATGTGCCCAGGATTTGTTTGGTTTGTCCCTGACAGAGATTTCTCACTTTGAAAAGGGCATCTTGGGGCTCCTGGGTGGCTCAGACAGTTATGCATCTAATCTACCTTCAGCTCAGATCATGATCCCAGGTCCTGGGATCAAATCCCACATCAGGATCCTTGCTCAACAGGGAGCCTGCTTCTCCCTCTGCCTGCTTCTCCCTTTCCTTGTGCACATGTACATTTTCGCTCCCCCTGACAAATAAAATCTTAAAAAAAAAAATCACAATGAAAAGGCCATCTTGCTGAACGATATATCTTTCCCTGCCCACTTCTCTAGGTGAATGATCCTCAAACAAAGTAGGATTAGGTTTTTTTGTTTTGTTTTTTGTTTTTGTTTTTTTTTTAAGAGAGAGAGGCAGAAACACAGGCAGAGGAAGAAGCAGGCTCTGTGCAGGGAGCCCGATGCAGGACTCGATCCTGGAACTCTCGGATCACACCCTGAGCCAAAGGCAGACATTCAACGGCTGAGCCATCCAGGCATCCCTGAATAGTTTTTCAAAAAAGAACTATTAACTTCTAAAGATTTATTTTAGATAGAGCGAGCAGTAGGGAGGGTCAGAGGCAGAGGGAGAGAATCCTCAAGTGAAATATTAATTTCTAAAGATTCTTTTACAATTAGAGAAAGAAGCAGAGGAGAGGGTGTCATGTTTTACCTTTCCTGAAGTGTAATGTGTGTACAGAGAAGGGCCCAGGCCCGAGTCTATAGTTCGCTGCATTTCACAGACTGAACATACTTGCGTACTGAGCACCCAGGAACAGAACAAGCCCTTGCCCAAGAAATCCCTTCGTGGCTCTCCCCTCACGAGGATCACTGCCAGCCTGAGTCCAACCACATGGATTTAATTCCAGTTTTATTTTATTTTTTTTAAAGGTTTTATTTATTTATTCATGAGAGACACACAGAGAGAGAGAGAGGCAGAGACACAGGCAGAGGGAGAAGCAGGCCCCATGCAGGGAGCCCAATGTGGGACTCGACCCCAGGGCTCCAGGATCACACCCTGGGCCAAAGGCGGGCACTAAACCGCTGAGCCACCCAGGGATCCCTAACTCCAGTTTTAAATGGCCGCTGCAGGGAGGAAAACTTAGTTGGTTGGCTCATAAAATCAAGATACTCCAAATAACCCCAGAAACGTCCTTGCGTATTCTTGTTATGTAACCTAATCCTAGGGCAGCCTGGGTGGCTGAGCGGGCTCAGTCTCTCACGAATAAATAAAATCTTAAAAAAAAAAACAAAAAAAACTATTCATCTAAAATGCAGCAACATCATTAGTTTCTCTTTTGTAAATTTGTGTAATGCAAAACTGTCTTTGTGAAAGAAAGTTAATGTCCACATAGATTTAGAGATTAATCTTATCTTTTTCTATTTTTTTCCTATGGAGATGTACCACTTTTATAATCAGGGAAAAACAACATGTAATCCAAAGAATCCTGGGTAATAACAAAAAGGTTTGAGCTTCTTAGAACTATACTTTTTATAACACAGCTCTAAAAAGACATTTCCAGGGTACCTGGGTGGTTTAGTCAGTTAAGTGTCTGATTCTTGGTTTTGGCTCAGGTCGTGATCTCAGGATCCTGGGTTTGAGCCCTCCATCTGGCTCTGCGCTGGGCATGGAGCCTGCTTGAAATTCTCCCTCTACCTCTGCCCCCTACCTTGTGCATGCTCATGCTCTCTTTCTGAAGTAAGTAAATCTTTAAAAAGGCATTTCTGGGGCACGTGCCTGGATCAGTCGATAGAGCATGTGACTCCTGATCTTGGGGTTGTGAGTTCAAGCCCCATGGAAGGAAGGAAGGAAGGAAGGAAGGAAGGAAGGAAGGAAGGAAGGAAGGAAAGAAAGAAAGAAAAGAAAGAGAAGGAAGGAAGGAAGGAAGGAGAGAAGAGAAAGAAAAGAAAGAAGAAAGAAAGAAAGAAAGAAAAGAAAGAAAGAAAGAAAGAAAGAAAGAAAGAAAGAAAGAAAGAAAAGAAAAGAAAAGAAAAGAAAAGAAAAGAAAAGAAAAGAAAATTAAAAAGCCATTTCCTATCACGAAGCAGCCTTCTAGAGGCCCTCCCTTGGGGCTTCAGCTGGGGCTTCCATCTCACCAATAAAGACATGGTGGAGGCCGGTGGGAACCTACCGCTGCCTAGAGCTCCCGGCCAGCCCGAGGTTCCCCCACCAGACATCGGCTCACCTCTGTGCAGTATGGGGGCACATTGAGGACAAAAAGGGTCCGCTTCTGAGGCCAGGAAGACTTGGTGCCTTCTCGAACTTTGTGCTCTCTCACATAGAGGTAATGAGAAGCTTGCTGCTTTTCAGAGAACTTGATGGGGATGGCTGGACAGGAAACGGGGGCAGGAGGGATGGTGTGAAAATCCAGCTCAGGTGTCCCCTTCCAGTCCCATCTGTCCATCCGCTCTTGCCCTAGGCCCATGCGCAGTACGTGCAGGCTGTGACAGTGAATGAACAAAGGAACTTCCCACGAGAGGCGCCCACAAAGGAGGGGGAGAGAGTCTAAATGGGTAATTATTACAAATGGGGAGCAAAATGAGAGCGGAGTCCAAACCTGCTGCTCCTGGTGTTGATACCCAACTCCTGACATCTGCTGGAGGCCCTGCCAGACCCTGACCACCTTTCACATCCGTCTGCAGAGTCCTCCCCCCACCACCGTGCAGCCCACCACTCGACCATCTCTAAGTCCAGGCCTCACCCATGCTCACGTTTCCCTTTCCCTGAAACATCAACCTTCTTCCCTCCCCCCCTCATTCTTCGGCTTTAGCTTTCCTTCCTGAGAGAGCCTTACGTGCCAAGTTAGAGCCACCTGCTCGGTGCCTTGACAAGGTCTCTCACGGTCACCAAGTCTCTATCTGCGTTATCATTTGGATACTGGCTGACAGTCCCATGACACTAGGGGCTGTTTTCTGTTTCTTGCACCACCTTCCTCAGAGCACAGTGGGGGTACAGCTGCAATACCTGCGCTCAGGAAGCCCACATGGGAGCAGAAGGCAATGAACAAACAAGCACATGACAAATAGAGAAGAAAGGGGGAAAGAGTGCAGGGTGGTCTCGAGGCAGAGGCCTTTGGACAAGCCATCAGGACAGCCTCTTCGAGGAATTAACAAAGCCACAAGGCAAAGCCTGTGTGAAAAGGGGGGGGGGGGGGCACAGAGTGCAAAACCCCGAGGGTGTAAAGAGCCTGTGGCTTCAGGGGAACAGCAAGAGCTCTAGGTCGGCTGAGCCACAACATGTGAGCTAGGCTACGAGTCAGCAATCACGGATTTTGTTTTAGGTGCCAACTTGTAAAACCACTGGAGGGAGTTCAGGGGGTATGAGGGCACGTAGGTACGCGAGAGGCAAAATCTGATTGAAATCCTCCCTTAGAAAGCACGTTCAGGCACCCGGGCGAACCGAGGGAGGGGCAAGCACAAGTCAGGAGGATGCGGACCGCTGTGGGCTGAGAGGGGCCAGAATCGGCAGGTGGGCCCACCTGCGGGCGGGGACGGGGTGTGAAGGCGGCACGGGCTGGTCTGGGGAAAAGAGTGTGGCCAGAGACGGGCTTACCCCCCAGGGAAGCGGTGGCCAAAACGGGCCCGACCCGGGAGGGCCGCCCGCCGCGTCCATGTTGGGGGCCTCGCACCCCACTGCGCGGCCGCTCCCGGGGGGGGGTCCCTGAGCCGCCGCCCCGACCCGCGGCCCCTTACCTGAGTAACCTGGGGGGCTCGGAATCTCCGGCTCCGAGTCCCGCGCCCCACGCTTCCTCCTGCGCGCCGCCATCTTGCCAACCGGAAGCCGCGGGGGCCGCCGGGAGTTGCAGTCCGGCGCCGGGAGCGTGCGCGCGTTTCCATGACGACGGCGCGGCGTGGGGCCCGCCTTCCCGCCCTGGCTCACCTTTGTTTGCGCTGAATAAAGTCGGCGCAGAAACCCGCCAGTAAATGTCGGCGTGGAGGGAGCTGGGCCTTCCATTCTTCCCCAAGTAACGGGAAGGCCTCGTTGACGTTGACCTTTTAACCACTTCTAAGTGGCGTTACGTATATTCTCATGCTTGTGCAACCTCCTTACCCATCTCCAGTTTTTCAGCCTTCCCAACTGAAACTCTGCACCCGTTTGTTTCCCCCCTTGCCCCTGGTAAGCATCATTCTACTTCCTGCGTCTATGAATTTGACGACGCAAGGTGCCTCAAATAAACGGAATCATACACTATTTGTGTCTGGCTTATTATCCCACGGCGCACGTTTTCATGGTTCATCCACGGGGTAGCAGGTCTCAGAATTTCCTTTTTAAGGGTAATATTTCATTGTGGGTGGGGATCACATTTTGCTGATTCACATGTCTGTGGACATGTGGGTTGCTTCTGCTTTTGGCTACTGTGAATAATGTTGCTGTGAATACTCTTTTTTTTTTAGATTTTATTTATTTACTCATGAGAGACAGAGACATAGGCAGAGAGGGAAGCAGGCTCCCTGCGGGGAGCTTAGTATGGGATTCTCTCCCAGGACCCCAGGATGATTAGCTGAGCCAAAGGCGGACACTCAAATAACAGCCACCCGGGTGCCCCTGCTGTGAATATTCGACACAACCTTCATGCAGATGTGTTTTTAATCTCTCTTGGATCCATATCTAGGAGAATTTCTTTATTATACAGTAATTATGTTTCACTTTTTGAGAAACTGCCAGACTGTTTTCCAAAGCTGTTTTCCAAAGATCACTTTCTTTCTCTTCTCTTTCTTTCTTTCTTTCTTTCTTTCTTTCTTTCTTTCTTTCTTTCTTTCTTTCTTTCTTTCTTCTTTCTTTCTTTCTTTCTTCCTTTCTTTCTTTTCTTTCCTTTCTTTCCTTCCTTCCTTTCTTCTTTCTTTCTTTCTTTCTTTCTTTCTTTCTTTCTTTCTTTCTTTCTTTCTTTCTTTCTTCTTTTAGGATTTTATTCATGAGAGACACAGAAAGACAGATATAAACAGAGGGAGAAGCAGGCTCCTGGCACAGGGAGCTGGTTGTGGGACTCTCCCTGCACCCAGGATCACACCTGGAGCCAAAGGCTGACGCTCAACTGCTGAGCTACCCAGGCGTCCCTGCCGCATCACTTTAAAAATCTCACCAGCGAAGTCCCAAATTTTCCATATCCTGTTTTTATGTCTATATTTTGATTACAGCCATCCTAGTGGATGTATAGCGATATATCATTGAGTTTTGATTTGCATTTCCCCCTTCATGAGTGTTGTTGAGCATCTTTTCATGTATTCATTGGCTATTTGGGTGGGTTTTTGGTTTTTTGTTTGTTTTTTTGAGAAATGTCTACTCAGTCTTTGCTCATTTTTGGTAGGGGAACTATTTGTATTTTTACTGTTGCATTTTAAGCGTTCATCTCTCCTGGGTGCAATTCCCTCATCAAATATGTGATTTGCAAATATTCTCTCCTGTGGGTTTTCAGTTTCTTTTTTTTTTATTTTTTATTTTTTATTTTTTTATTTATTTATGATAGTCACAGAGAGAGAGAGAGAGAGAGAGAGAGAGAGAGAGAGAGAGAGGCAGAGACACAGGCAGAGGGAGAAGCAGGCTCCATGCACCAGGAGCCTGATGTGGGATTCGATCCCGGGTCTCCAGGATCGGGCCCTGGGCCAAAGGCAGGCGCCAAACCGCTGCGCCACCCAGGGATCCCGAGGGTTTTCAGTTTCTTAAAGGTACTTTTTTTTTTTAAGATTGTATTTATTCATGAGAAACACGCAGAGACATAGGCAGAGGGAGAAGCAGGCTTCTTGCAGGGAACCCGATGCAGAACTTGATCCTAGGACCCCGGGATCACGCCCTGAGCTGAAGGCAGATGCTCAACCCCTGAGCCACCCAGGAGTCCCTTAAATGTACCTTTAAAGCAAAAAAACTTTTAAATTTTCCATTAAATTTATTTTTTGAGGGTATCCAGTGGTCTGCACCATTTATTAAAAATACTCTTCTCTCCTCCACTGAATTGTGTTGGCACCTCTGCCGAAAATTAATGGACCAGATATGGGGCTTTAATTTTGGACTCTCCATTCTAGTCCATTGGTCTGTGTATCTATCCTTATGCTAGTGCCACACTGTCTTGATTACTGCAGCATTTTAAGTTTTGAAAGCAGAAAGTGTCAGTTTTTTGACTCTCTTCTTTTTCAATACGGTTTTGGCTATTCAGGATCCCTTTGAATTCAACAATATTTTGTAGTTCTCAGAATATAAATTTACACCGATTTTAAGTACACTTATTTAAGTATTAAATGTATCCTATTTTACTCTGATCCTATGCTAATTTTTCTAATATGATTTTTACATTACTCATTGTAAGTATATCAATTGACCTTGCATTCTGCAACCTTGCTGTGTTTATTCTAGTAATCTTTCAGTGGATTCCTCTTTTCTTTCCAATATGCATGCTTTTCTCTATGACTCCCCACAGTCCTCTCCCACCCAAATACCCCTGGCTAGAGCCTCCAGTTCCATGTTCAACAGAAGTGGTAAAAGCAGACAGCCTTGTCTTGTCTCCAATCTTAGAGGGAAAGTTTTCAGTATGTAACCCAGGGATTTCTGATCTCACTGTGACCAAAGAACACACTGTATGAACTCAGTTTTTTAAAGACTTTTTTTTTAAATTTTTATTTATTTATGATAGTCGAGAGAGAGAGAGAGAGAGGCAGAGACATAGGCAGAGGGAGAAGCAGGCTCCATGCACCGGGAGCCTGACGTGGGATACGATCCCGGGTCTCCAGGATCGGGCCCTGGGCCAAAGGCGGGCGCCAAACCGCTGCGCCACCAGGGATCCCTTTTAAAGACTTTTAAAATTTATTTATGAGAGAGGCAGAGACACAGGCAGAAGAGGGAGAAGCAGGGTCCATGCAGGGAGCCTGTCGTGGGACTTGATCCCGGGACTCCAGGATCACGCCCTGGACGAAAGGTGGCGCTAAACTGCTGAGCCACCCAGGCTGCCCCCATTTTGTTTTCTGTTGTTTTTTTCCCCCCTGCCTTCCTTTGGGCTACTTGAACTTTTTTTTTTAGAAATCCATTTTTATTTATCTGTAGTGTTTTGGGCTGTATTATCTTTTTTTTAGTGGTTGCTCATATATACTTGTTACCACCATATATTGTTGTTGACATTTTATCCGTTTGGGTGAAAGGTAGAAACCTTCCTTCTAGTTCCTTTGCCCTCCCTTATTTATAATCTTTTTTTAAGATTGTATTTATTTTAGAGAGAGAGAACATGAGCTAAGGGAGAGGCAGATGGAAATAGAAAGGCAGGCTCCCCACGGAGCAGGGAGCCCAATGTGGGGCTGGTCCTGGGATCATGACCTGAGCTGAAGGCACTTAATAGACTGAGCAACCCAGGTGCCCCTGTAAAGTCATTGTTTTAAATGCTTCCTCTATGTACATTGAGAATCACATCAATGTTATAACTTTGGTTTCAACCAAAGTTTAGAAACAATTTAGAAAACTCAAGAGAAAGAAGGTGTTTTATTTACCTATAGTTTTACTATTTTCTGTTCTACGTTCCTTTCTGATAGTCTCCTTTTTTTTCCCCTTAAGTTTAGAGAATTTTATATACATTTACTTGACAGAGCACAAGCAAGGGGAGTGGGAGAGGGAGAAGCAGGTTCCCCGCTGAGCAGGGAGCCTGATGTGGGGCTAGATCCTAGGACGCTGAGATCATGACCTTTGCTGAAGGGAGACACAACCAATTTAGCCACCCAGGTACACCAAGAACTTTTTTAGCCATTATTTTACGGTAGGTTGGCAGGCAACAAATTCCCCTAGTTTCCCTTTATCTGAGAATGTCTGAATTACCCCTGATCCCTAAAGATATTTTTTGCTAGATGTTGAATTCTTGATTGAAGCTTTTCTTTCACTATATGAAAAGTGTGCCACTATCTTCTGGCCTCATGGTTTCTGATGAGAAACCTGTCACATTGTTTTTTTCCTTATAGATGACGTGTCACTTTTCTTTTGCCTTTTCACAGATTTTTATTTATTTATTCACGAGACACAGAGGCACAGGCAGAGGGAGAAGCAGGCTCTGTGAGGAGCCCGATGTGGGACTCGAGCCCAGGACCCCAGGATCACGCCCTGAGCCAAAGGCAGATACTCAACCGCTGAGCCACCCAGGCATCCCTTTTCTTTTGCTTTTAAAATTTTTGCCTAGTTTTCAGAAGTTTGGCTGTGAGGTGTCTTGGTTTCAATTTCTTTGGATTTATTCTTTGGGATCCTCAGAGCTTCCTACAGGTTTAGATCTTTCACCATCTGGTGAGTATATATGGCAATTACTTCAACTACTTTTTCAGCCCTAATTTTTCTTCTCTCCTTCTGGTACTCTGATGATTTTTTAGATTTTATATTTTTTGTCATAGGCCCCTGAAGTGTTTTTTTGTCATTTCCTTTCGGTTCAGATTTGGTAATTTCTATTATCTTCAAGTTCAAGAATTCTTTCTCCTGCATTGCTTTTTTGTTAATTGCATGTTTCAGCTCTAAATGATTCCTTATACTTTCTTTGCTGAGACTTTATATTTTTTTCTCAAGTGTGTTCATAATTGTTGACAATTTTATGATTGCTTTAATGTCCTTGCCAAATAATTCTAACATCTGTCATTTCAGTGTTCTCTCCTCCCACCGTTTTTTTTTTTTTTTCCTGGTCTTTTCAGCCTATTTTTTATTGAAATGTGGACATTTTGGGCAACAAAGACTGCATCTTGTTACAGCATACCTCCTGACGGGGATGGCAAGGCACCACTTGATTACTACTAGGTGTGGCTGGAGTTCAGATTCCTTGCTTGAGGTCTGCGGACACCCAGGGTGGGGCAGGGGGGTGCCTCATTTCTCCTACAGCCCCCACTGACATCGAGTTCTAGCTCCCCGCTTGACCTTCTCAGATGCCACCCCAGCAGGAATTTTGGGATACCCCCAGGACAGCTTAGCGAGGATGGAAGCCTAGGCTCCCAACTTGGCTTATGTTGGTCAAGTCAGGGTGGTTTCTTCTGTGGTTTGGCTAGAGTTAGTCTTGCTAAGTTCTTCCTTTTCTGGCCCTTATTTGGGGCTTTGTCTGCCTTTTCAGCAACGTGAAGCAAAAAGAAAACTCAGGGAGCCCAATGTAATTCCTTGGGTCCCGGAGTCTCCGGGTCCCCAGCCAGTCTACCTTCTCTCCACCGTTCAGTCTTCTGTTTTATATAAAATCTCCAGGGTTCTATTTAGTGGATAGGGATTAAGTACTTCCATTCCACCTTCCCAGAAGAAGAGTTGTCCCACTTACACCATAATAAACAATATGAAAATACAAAATGGTAAAGCCACTGTGGAAACTGGAATAGCAACTCCTCACATTACAAATAGGTATTACCATATGATTTAGCAATTCCTAATCTGAGTATGGACCCCCCCGAAATTGAAAACATGGTCTTTTCTTTTTTGAGAGAATCTTAAGCAGAGTCCATGCCCAGCGTGGAGTGTGATTCAGGGCTTGATCCCACAACCCTGAGGGGATGACCTCAGCTGAAATGGAAGTCGGATGCTTAACCCATTGAGCTACCCAGGTGCCCCTGAAAGCAGGGTCTTCGATCTGGACACCTGTGTTCACAGCAGCATTATTCACAACAGCTAAAACATGGAAGCACTCTGATTGCCTGTCTACAGAGGGACAAGTAAAATGTGGCATACACATACAATGTAGTATTCAACTTGGAAAAGAAAAATGATATATGTTACATGGAAGAAGCTTAAGGACATGATGCTGAATGAAATAAGCCAGTCAGAAAAAGACAAATATTGTAGGATTCTTCTTCTAGGAGTAATCAGAATCTTAGTATAATGATGGTTGCCAGGGTCTGGGGGAGGGGAGAATGTGGAGTTGTTGTTGAATGGAAACAGCATTTCAGATCTACAGGATGAAGGGTATGGGGATGGATGGTGGTGACCTGCACAATATGACTTTTTAATGTCACTGAAGAGCACACTTAAAACATGGTTAAGATGGTAAATTTTATGTATATTTTACCACATACACAAAAACCATCAACAAATTAATTTTTCTAATGCATAATTGATCTAAGAGATAAGTTTCACCCATTAATCGGACTTCTTCAAACCAGGGCAACATTCAGGCTCTCCTGTTCCTCACGAACAGACCTAATTCTATGTTGGAGTGGACCATACTTAATACCCAGTGAGGCAACTGAGGCCCAGAACGTACCAAGTTACTGTGCCAGGTACTTCACAGACATCAATGCTCACATCCTCAGCTGTGGGGACTGGGGTTCAGCAAGCCCTGTGAGCAAATGCCCCAGGGTCATAGCTGGTAAGCAGTAAAGCAGAGGCAAATTCCTGTTTTCTAGTGCCGAGTCCCACAGGGCTACTCAGAATTCTTTAAGAAAGAGCAGCTCAAAGGTAGGAATAACAAATATTTATTCAGAAATGGGTAAGTAACATATCTCCTCCATCCCTTCATGTCTCTTCCTCTCCTTTTGAACAAGAGATACACACGAGGAATGTGGAGGGGTGGGAGGTGGAGAGGGACACGAGGATTGGCCCACCACCTTCTCTTCCATTTTCCATGACGACACCCTGTAGAGCAGGGCAGGCAAACAGGCTCCACCCTGCAATGTACCATATGGCTATGCAGAGGACAGGGTCTGGATGGCCAGAGGGTTGCAGCTGGGCTCAGTGAACTCTGTGATAGCCAGAGCAGCCTGGCACGGGGCTGGGGGACGGGGTGGTACAGGTGGGGGAGAGGGGAGGGTAAAGCCATGCAGGCAGGAGGATATTCACCATCCCTACTTGAAGCAGAGTCCAAGCAGTGATCCAACTGTCCCTAGTACCTGAAAAACCAGGTCCTCCTGCCTTGTGGGTGTTCTCGTGGAAGAAGAAGGGGAAAGTGTAGGAGGAATGTTTTCCGGCTGCTGAGAAGTAAGTTTGCACCCATTCAAAGGGGGAAAAGGGAACAAGGGAACAAAAGCAGCATTCTTTAAAGAATCAGAAGGTGGAGCACCATCAGGTACTTTCCATGGACTGAGCAACTTTCCAAAGCCTGAGCAACCTCAGACCTTGAGGACTGGGCGGTGTTCAAAGCCTGGGTCCTTCCTGCTTAAACAGAACTCTGAAACATGAGTTTCCAGATGTGTCTTCCCTGGACTGGCCTCAAGCAGGCCACAAAAGGCTGTGTCTCAGGTCCCCTCTATTTCCTAGACTTCTGCCTTTCACAGTGCTTGCTGCTGCTTCGGTAGAGATCCCCGAGCCTGCTGCCCAACTCGCTCCGGCTCTGCCAGCCTGGATTCCTTCCGCAGTCCCAACAACGTGGCAGGAGCCTGAGGGCAGTGGAGCCATGCACTCTGGTATGCAGGGGCCACCCGTGGTGGCTACAGTTCTGCCCAAACACCTGGAACCACTATGAGGGGAGAGCCTAGCAGCTCACCTGGGAGGTCAGCTCTGCTCTCTCCACTCCCTCCCTACCACCCAGCAATCCCTGCGCACTTTGCTCCCAAGGCAGGGCAAGACCCCTCTGGTCAAGGATGGATGTGTCAGTCACAACACTGGGAACAGCGCCCCTTGGTGGCAGTTGGATCTGTGCCTCTCTCAGCATTCCTATTGTCCTGTAGGCACGAGGCCAAAAACAAAGAGGGAGGAAGTCAACATCTCCCATTCAAATAATCCCACAGGCCCTCAGAGTCACAGAATAGGCAGACCTTTAAAAAAAAAAAAATTCAACTAGCGGAGAGTTGGCATTTGAGGAGCGCCATGCCAGGTGAGAACTGGGAGGGCTAATGGTGCACGCCCCTCCTGGTACTGAGACCCAGAAAGTTGAGAGCTGGGCTAGGGCACACAGCAGAACCCAGGGAGAGGGAAACGTGAACGTGAGAGCTGACTGAGACACCAGAGATGGCCCAGGCCCTCTCAGATAACCTGGCAGCCAGGGATGCTCTTCCCAGCAGCAGCCCCACGCTGCCCTTGCCATGTGTGCCCAGACCACACTGTCTAGAGCCAGTCGTGGCGAGAGGACAAGAACGCTGTGGCCTGATCCCCACCCAGGCCACCTGCAATGACCAGGTAGGTGAGCGGCACAGCTCTCACACTGATCTGGCTTCCCCTAGGAGGGCAGGGGCTCCCATTCCCAACTTCGTTTAAAAGTTTAAAAAAACAGAAAGGGGAGGCAGCTCTTCAACTCCCAGAGAAAAGTGTCCTTCACAGAGGCCCCAGCCCTGCATTCCATGGGGCCCCCAAAAAGCCAGCCAGAGAACTGAGGGTACCATTTTCAGACAAGAAATCTGCTTGGAGCTGAGATTAGGGGGGAGGGATGCTCTGGGCAACACGAGCCTACCTTGGTGAGGAGGTGGAGGGAGAAGACACAGACTACAGGAAATGTTAACGTACAGAAGAGCACAGGGTAGGACACAAAACAGAGAGGTGGGTCCCGTCCAGTGAGGAAGTTCTCTACCCCTGGCGGCCCTTCCCACGCTCAGGGCCTTCCAGTCCGACGGCCCATTGGTCACAAGCTTTGCTTTAGGAAACAGAGCCACCCTCCTCTGCCCCTGCTTCTGGCTGCCTCACTCCCCTGCTCAAAGTTTGATTTTGAATTCTGTGGGCTGCGTAGTCACAGAGGCCCCCGAAGACTTGAAGAGCGCTTTCAGGATGGTGTCGGGGTCCACTTCGGCAGGAGGGTTAGAGGAGGCAGTGGAGTTCACCCTGCGAGGCAGCTCACTCTCCTTTTTCACTGAGGGGCTGTCACTCAGCCGTCTGTGGAGAGCAGAGAAGAGTCAAAATCCTTGTCAGTTTTCCCTCAGATGGGGAGGGAACTCACTGTTTACTAAGTTTGTTAGGAAAGTTAGGTGCTGAACAGAATGCTTTCTGTGCTCTGTACTCCTTGATCTCATTACATTCTATAGGAAATCTATCATTTTTGGATTTGCTGATGACAAAATCGAAATGCAGCCTGTTGTGATCTGGGGTTTTAAGAAATGCTGCAGGCCCTTCAGAGACAGTCACTTACACATCAGCAAATTATGTATTTCGAGAAGTCTTGAAGTAAAGAAGTCAACTTTGCTGTTTATCCCAATGGCTCCCAAACGTATTAGGTCATAAAACCCCTATTTTCCAGAATACAACTTATTCTTGCACCATAGCTTAACAAACTTGTCCAAATCACACAATTCAATATCCGAGGTTCAAATTCTGGCTTTTCTAAATTTCAAACTCGGCCTGCCCCTCCCACCATGGCAAGTCTAATATCTTCCTGAGGTTTTGTCTCCTTGTCTATAAAATGATGTCCTGCCAATCTATAGTTTATGCATCTCAGCCTCAAAACCCCCCCAGTCCTGGGTCAGGCACGTATGCGTAGGCGCGTGTCCTAAAACAAGGGCTGGCACTGTGCACCACCTCCATCAGAGCCCATGAGGTGGTTTTCCATTCACTGGGACGGTACACACAGCTGGCTGCTCTCCCACCTCCGTCACAGGACTTTCTACATCATAAAGCTGAGCGTGGGGTCCATCCCCCGCGAAAATGACCACCACTCTGTACAAAGTTCAGCAGCCCGACGCCCGTCCGCCCACAGCGCAGAAGAAACGGAGAGGGAAGCGGTGCTGCAGGCATAATCCCTGCAGGATCAAGAGCCAACCACACAGCATAAACCTGGAGAAGAGCTCCGCCCGGTCCCCAGCACCTTCAGGACTTACAGCAGGATGGGCTGGTCTGAGGTGATAACGTTGCCATTCATGTGAAGGTTGCATTTCATTGGTTGCCCTGAAAAACCAACAAGGAAAGGGCTCTGCAAGACGAAAGGACAAGAGCTGCCCACTCCATCACCAAGGATCAACACCCTACTCTGGCAGCTCTGGCTCCATGACGGGAGACAGGGGTGCCAGGCTTTGGGGATCCCAGGGCATGAGGTCCCCACAAAAGAGCACGTGGCAACAGACCTCACTTTGAGCAGGAGGTGAGAGCTGAAGGGAGAACTCTCTCTAAACCCATTTGTGAAGTAGTAAAGGAAAATGTTTATGTGGTGAAACTAAGTAAAAAAAGACTTCAAAAGCAAATGTACAGACTTCCACTTTGTCTGTGAAGGATTAACTGCTCCAAAACCGCACTGTTCCTCTACACAGCATGTGAGAAGCATAGCAACCGCAGCACACAAGAGGGAGGGAGAGGGATAGAACCATAGAGGGGAACACTTCTACTACCTTCCTGGAATTAAATTAGTATTTATCTGAAAGAGATTCTGGTAAACTACAACATACACTGTGAACCCTGGAGCAGCCGTTACAGTAGTGACTCAAAACATATAGTGAAAAAAATCTTTCAAGGGCCTAAAATGTCATGCTAGAAAATATTCATGTCATGCAAAAAAAAAAAAAAAAAAAAAAAAGTAAGTGCTACATTACATGGGAATGGATTAAATAATCCAAAAGGCAGAGATGGTCAAACTAGATTAAAAGAAAAGATAGATCCAACAATATGCTATCTATAGGAGACACACCTTAGATTCAAAGATATAAAATGGTTGAAAGTAAAAGGATGAAAAAAGATATATCACCCAAACAGCAGCCCTAAGAAAGCTGAAGTAGCTATACTAATATAAGACAAAATACTTAAAAAAAAGTTACATAGAGACAAAGAGGATCATTATTTTGTTTTATAAGATTTTATTTATTTGAGAGAGAGCATGTGTTATGCACACAGGTGAGTAGAGAGGGGCAGGAGGAAGGAAGAAGAAGAAAGAATCATGAACCAACTCCATGAAAAGCTCAGAGCCCAATGAACTTGACCCCTGACCTTGAGATCATGTCCTGAGCCAAAACCAAGAGTCAGATGCTTAACTGAGTCACCCAGGGGCCCTGAGAAAAAGAGGGTCATTTTGTAATGATAAAAGGGCCAATCCAGGAAAAAAGCAATTATAAACATACATACAACTAACATATACGTATATAACCATATGCAACTAACATCAAACCCTCAAACACACAAAGCAAAACTCACACAAGTGAAAAAAGTAAACAAGTTGATGATTTCAATATTTCACTTTCAGAAATGAAATATTTCATTTCAGAAATATTTCAGAAATATTTCACTATTTCACAAGTTGATGATTTCAATATTTCACTTTCAGAAATGGCAAGAAGAGCCAGTCAGAAGACCAACAAGGAAACAGAAGATTCGAACATTATAAACTAGACCTCACAGATACCTACCAGCAGCAAAATACATATTTTCTTTAAACACTAATGGAACAGAAGGAAATTTGGCAAATTCACAAAAACATGGAAATTAAACAGTTCTAAATAATCAAAGGTCAAAGAAGAAATCACAAGGGAATTCAGAAAATACTTTGAGATGAATGAAAATAAAGACACAACATACTAAAATTCATGGGATGCAGCTAAAGCACTGCTTAGAGAAAAATGTATAGCTGTAAATGCATAGATCAAAAAGAGGGAAAAGACAACACAGAATGAGAAAATACTGGCAAATCAGTAATCTGATAAGAGATGAATTAAGTATAAAGAATTCTTAGGGCAGCCCTGGTGGCCCAATAGTTTAGCGCCACCTTCAGCCCAGGGCGTGATCCTGGGGACCCGGGATCGAGTCTTGCGTCGGGCTCCCTGCATGGAGCCTACTTCTCCCTCTGCCTGTGTCTCTGCCTCTCTCTGTCTCTCATGAATAAATAATTAAAATCTTTAAAAAAAAAATTCTTAAAAATATATTTTTTTAAACTCAAAAGGTGGGCAAATATTGGGGTGCCTAGGTGGCTCAGTTGGTTAAGTGTCTGCCTTTGGCTTGGGTCATGATCCCAGGGTTCTGGGATTGAGCCCTGCCTCAGGCTCCCGGCTCAGTGGGGAATCTGTTTCTCCCTCCCCCTCTGTGTGCTCACTCTCCCTAATAAATAAATAAATCTTAAAAAAAAAAAAATGTGGGCAAATAGTCTGAATAGACATTTCTCCAAGATATACAAATGATGAATATGCACAGGAAAAGATACTCAACATCATTCACCAACAGGGAAATGCAAATCAAAACTCTGTGTTACATTAGTCTCTGCATCTCTAGCACAGGTCCCCGGTCCACAAGTGTACTCAATAAACACTGAAAGAACTAACCAGTGAAAAAAATAAAAATAAAGAAAAAAAGAACCAGTGGACAAAAGGGACACAGCAGACAGTTTCTCTCCACAGGCTATCCTGAGATAAATAATGTGACTCTGAGCTCAGTAAAATCAGTAGCTTGCTCCCCAGGAGCAGAGCTCACCCAGGTGCTAACAGTTAGACAAGGCTTCAGGCCTTTGAGGAAACTGGCCCAGAAATAATGAGACCAACATCTGGAAGGAGACGGCTAGGACTTTTGGCTTCCCCAGCAACACCTCTAAGAGAACCACCCACGGAGAAATGGTGTTCTCTACTCGCTAAACTGAAGTCCTAGGACTGGGTGAAAACCCAAGGTCCTGAAAAACCAGCAGCTCAGGGGACTGCACATCTGTATGTCCTCTTTGTGCAAGGGAAACCCCAGAGGGAGGAATGCATCAGGAGTCCTTCCACTCATCTCAGAGGAAAGCTTGCTCAGAAGTCCTGATGCTGGGTAGTGAGCCGTGGGCAGCGGGAAGGTGAAGTGGCTGGTTTCTCCTTGACTTACCATCCAAACACCTGTTGTTATACTTCTTATATGCAGTAATGGCATCATCCTTCTTCACAAAGACCACCTCTGCTACCCCAGGATGGACCAGCCGAGCCCTTTTGAGGGCTCCACACACACAGAAAAGCTCCTGCAAAGAATAAGATGGGTGAGGGCTGTAGAAGAATCTGGAACCATTACCCTGCCTGCCTGCCATCTACACACTCAGAGAGGGCTCTGGGTAGACCGGTGGCTACACTCTAGCTGAACATGCTCAGCGCCCAGGATGTGGGGAGGTGCCGGTCTGGGCGGTATCCTTGGGACATCCACAGGCCTCTCCAAGTGGGACCAGATGAGGGAGCACGCTGAGCTGGCAGTAGGACACGGGTCTGGGCTTACAAGCCTTGAAGTCCCTGTGTCCTTCAGCCAGGCACCCCCAAAGTCTTCCTGCTTTGGTACCCACTTTCTCAACAAGGGAAACAGAGAATTTCTCTGTGGGCCCTGTCATGCAAAGGAACGTGTAGCTCATCAAAGGCAGTGGTAAATATGTCACCAGGGAATCTGCAAGTTATTTAACTTCTCTGACCATGAGTTTTCTCTTCTGGGGGGAAAAAAAAGGAAAAGGAATGGTTTCACCTTCCTCCCAGGGTTGCTGAAAAGTCATTTTTTAGTGCAGTGCTCTCTGTACATGTGTGTGACTATCGTCCTCATGTCCCCTGATAACCTCCCCGCCCCTGCCTTGTTTTCCAGGGCAGGAGGTAAGGCCAGAGAAGGAAGACAATGAGGAGATGGATCACAAAGGCCGACTAGCAACCCATGCCATTTCTTCATTTGTGACTCCCTTCACCAGGTTGTTATGAGGACAGAATGGTTTCTGAGAAGGTCACTGAAACAATATGTTTTGTGATAAAGTGAAAATGTTAAATACCAAAACCAAGATATGGAACTGAATACTAAGTGTGATCCCAATTTTATTACTACTGTTCTCTAAACATTATCCACATAGGTAAAGAAGGGACGGTGGCTATTACTGGTGTCCACTCTGAATGGTGGTCAGTTCCCACTACTTTGTATTTTCAAAGATCTTGCATACAAATTACCTGCCACATAATAAGTGCTCAATAAACAGTAGCTACTACTACTTTTATAATCAGGAAAAAACTTTGTTTTAATTCTCTATTAATTTGCCAAGTATTAGACAAAGGAGGCTACAATTTCCATTGTGTGTACCATTTCCTGGTGAGCCTGCTTACTTCTCAAAGCTATCACACAGCACTCATATTTCATAGTTAAAACCTGAAACGTCAAACGTGGTGGCTTTTATGGGCTGTTAAAGAACTTGAAACTCAGTTCAGAGAGAGGCTGGAGTGCAGCTGCATTTCTTCTATGATTCAACAGCTCCGAGTTAAAAGGGTATGTAGATTTTTAAACTAAGAGTGTTATTTAAAAGACAAAAAAACAAAAACAAGGTGGAAGAGAAGTCCTGGCTACATCCTTACCAGGCTCAGGGTAAGGGCAGGACAGAACAGACCAGGCCAATCCAGAAGGGCCAATCACCAGATAACACCAATCTGTCTCACTGCTTTTACTTTGGAATCATGAAAACCCCTAGAGGAAGCAGAAGTTCTAAAGACCCACAGGAAAATAAGAACAATGGGGCTGTAAGCCATGGGACTAGAGGATCCCAGTCAAGACCCATCCAGCACAATGCCCTGGCCCTGGTTTAGAAGCTGCAAAGAACAGTTAACACAGCCAGCCTGACTGCTATCTTTTAAAAGACCTGCTTCCAAGGCTGGATCTTGGCTGGTGGCTGGGAACCTGGAACTGGGGAAAGCTCCCACCACCCTAATTGATAAGAGTGGCTCACTGAGTATAAACTGTGCAAATGTGGTTTATGCTGAACACCTGCTTTTCCTCCTGGCACTCTGGAATGCTGGTATGCATGGGCAAAGGATGCCTACGCAACGGGTTCCTGGTAAAAACCCTGGGCACTGAGTCTGTAACGAGCTCCCTGGTTTCATGCGTCACAGCTCGTTGCTGGGGGAATAAAGTACATTCCATGTGACTCGTTTCAGGAGGAATACAGAAAGTTGCACCTAGATTCCCCCAGCCTCTGCTCCATAAGCCTTTCCCTTTGCTGATTTTGCTGTATCCTGTAATAAGCCTTAGCCCTGACATGACTCTATGAGGAGTCCTCTGAGTCTTAGAGAGTGAACCTGGGGGTGGTCTTGGGGCCCCTTGACACAGAAGTGGTTTGAATCTAAAGTTCTGGCAGGACATACTACTCACCACAATGTCTTCTTCAGTGACTCGAGGGTGCAGATTGTTTACGGTCATCTTGGTGCCTTCCAAGGGGCTGAGGACAGGCTGCCAGAGGAGACAGTTCCCAAAATCAGACAATAGCTGTGGGTTCAGCAGCAGCATGCACTTCCGGCCAGTGACAAGAAGGCCCAGAGGAAAGCCTCCTAGAGAGCCTGTCACAATCATGCCCCACCACTATGCCTCTGAGCCTCTGCATGGAATGCCAATCACATTTCAAGACCCATCCAACTCAGGTGACACTTTCTCCTTAAAGCCTTTCCAACCTGCCCCGTAGAATCAAATGCTCCTTCCTCAGTACTCCCAGCTGCTCTTCTCTGGGCAGACCTCTGTTCTATCACCAAAACTGCTCTATCTGCAGCTATTTCCCCCACTGGCCCAGAAGCATTTGAGGGCAGGGGTCACTGAGTCTTGGCGCACTCATTTGTAAAATGGCGGTGGCAATGCGCACCTCCCGGAGGTGCTGTGAGGACTCCACAGAGTACACATGATACACTGCCCACCCAGCACAGGCTGACTCTCAGTGGATGCGGTCACTTCCTCTCCTTCACCTTCACCTCACCTCAGCAGGCGGCAGCTCTTTGGGGGGCTCCTCCTTGTTCACTAGTGTCCGAGACATGCTGGTCAAGGCTTTTGTCCGAACAGAGGAGGGGAGGGCAGGAGCTGTGTAAGCATCATTCTGAACCACTTTGGTGAGAGGGAGGGCCTTGGACATGGAGAACTTGGAACTGCTCAGCCCGGCCTAAACAAAGAGGCGGACAAGAATCTGAAAAGCTAGAGAAGGCAAGAGAGAAGCCCTATGTGGCTGGCAACCACCACCCCCAAGGCTTCCAAACTCCCCAACTCCATTAGAGATTTGGAGCCAAAAAAGCCACCAGTGACTTCCCCCAAGGAAGAGGAGGGAGGGGAGATATGCAGTCTGCCCAACATGTTTATAGAAGTCACTCTCCAAAAAAAAAAAAAAAAAAAAAAAAAAAGTCACTCTCCAGTGCATGAAGCCCTTCGTGAGAAACTTCCATGCAGGTCTGGCCTGGAGCCACAGGTATACCCATACCATTTAGATTTTATGAAACCCCTACAATCTGGGACTCATCAGAAGGCCAAAAGCTTAGAGTCAATTCATTCTCAGATATGACAGAAGCATATGCTTCTATCACAATGGGCTAATAATCATCAGTTCTGAGCTGGCCAGGCACAAGAACCCACTCTTCAGAAAGGCAGACTCCCAGCTTCTTGGCCCCCATTTCTGCCACACTGAAGCACCATGCACAGCCCTGGCCTTATCAGCTCCCAGGCTGTGAAGGACATGCTGGCAGAGACAACACGTGCAGACCAGCAGAAACAGTTCTTCGGGACGCCTGGGTGGCTCAGCGGTTGGACGCCTGCCTTTGGCTCAGGTCGTGATCCCTGAATCCGGGATCGAGTCCCACATCGGGCTCCCTACGAGAAGTCTGCTTCTCCCTCTGCCTATGTCTCTGCCTCTCCTCTCAATCTGTGTCATGAATAAATAAATAAATCTTAAAAACAAAACAAAACAAAAAAACAGTTCCTCCTTCTCCTGCTGCCCCTAACTGGGGATGTGGTCCCTTGGAAATGTAAACCAGGAAACTCCTTGATATTAATGTGTCAGAGGCAAAAGATGTCTGAGGCAAAAGTAGCAGGTGGCCTTGCTGACTTAAGACAGAACTTGCCAGGTACTGACTCTGGAAGAAGGAAGGGATGCAGCAGCCAGAGAGGCAGAGTGTGGGGCAGGGGTGATTCACCAGCTTCTCTGAATCAAATGAAATGTCCTCCTCACACTGGACCCCACATTTCTCAAGCTGCTTTCTGAATATTGACAGCCAGTGGAGTATGACAGATGCGGCCAGGGAGGCAGACGGCATGGGCTGGACTGACTCAGATCCACTATCTGTAAGCTGGGAGATTCTGAGCATATTTCATCCCCCTGTGCCTGCTCCCTCTCCTGAAAAATAGGACTACTGGCCCAGAGCTGCTGACCACGGAGGGAAGGGGAACATGCAGAATTTCCTGCCAGAGGAGAGGAAACAGGATCCCCTCCTCTGGCATCTCCCATTGCCCCTGAAGTGTCTCCAGCAGCAAGTGGAGGCTGCAGCTAGCAGCCTCAAGACGCCACAGGCTACCCACAGGCTAGCTGTGGCACCTTGGACATAGCACTGGATGCCCTGGTCTCAGTATTTACAAAACCAGGGATGAGATTAGTGCCAACTCTGAAAATCTCATGAAACAAATGCAGACTTGTGAACTGAAAGGCCGTACTCTCCACCACCTCTCCCATCCACCTGACCAGATACACATGGTGAGTGCAGCAAAAACATAAAATGCCTTACCACGTGGTGGAGAAAGCTGCCTGAGGCTGCAAATTTCATCTGTTTACTAGGAATGGGAGCTACGGAGTCATCATCTTCCTCCAAATCATATAAATTCTAAAAGAAAGAAAAAAGAAAAAGCTGGTACACTTGGGGTAGCTCAGCGGTTGAGCATCTGCCTTTGGCTCAGGGCATGATGCCGGGTCCTGGGATCAAGTCCCACACTGGGCTCCATGAGAAGAGCCTGCTTCTCTCTCTAGGTCTCTGCTTCTGTGTCTCACGTGAATAAAATAAAATAAAATCTTTAAAAAAAAAAAGGAATAACATTAAAAACAAAAAGAAAGCTAATGTGGCCTTAGGCTCTCAAAGGACATTTGGAGCAAGAACAGTAAACTATGTGGAGCAGGTTGGTGGAGGGAGAAGCGGGTGGAGGGAAAGGACCGGGGGACACTGGCCTGGGAGTCAAAGCCTGACAGGCCGGCTCTCCACCCACAAGGGCCTAACAAAAGTGCTGCAACCTCCAGGTTCATAAGAATTACCTTCCCACAAGTGGGCAACACCCAGAAAAACCTTAAAACAGGTGTTTACAATCTTGGGTTTAGAAAGTCCATCCTAGGCAGTCTGGCCTACAGAAATAAATCCAAACTCTAGAAAGAGCTTTAGCCACAAAGATATTTGCAGGGTTTCTAACAGTGAAAATTATAGGAGAATGGCTTTTAAAAACTGAAACATTAATTCAATGGATTATGCAGTTATTAAAAATGTTTACAGTAAATGTGAATCACAGAAGTGCTTGAGCTATACAGTGAAAACAGAAGAACACAAAATTGGATAATAATACACACACAACTACAAGTAGGCATTAACTTAACAATAATGACACTTAAAAAACCAAAAACCCAGGAAGGAGCCAGGGCAGCATTTCAACAACAGCTGGCTTTGGAGAGAAGGAGCACAAGAATTCTTTTTTCCTTTTTACTTTCTCGATTTTACAAATGTTCTATATTAAGCACATACTGAGCTTTTTTTTTTTTTTTGGCACATACTATTTTAATAATAAAAAGTAGAAGACTTCCAATTTGCCTCTCTGCCTCTTACATACTCACCTCCTCCCTATTCTAAGAGGTATTTTTTAAAAAAGATTTTATTTATTCATGAGAGACAGAGAGAGAGGCAGACACAGGCAGAAGGAGCAGCAGACCCCACACAGGGAGCCCAATGTGGGACTCAATCCCGGGAACCCAGGATCATGCCCTGGGCCGAAGGCAGGCGCTAAACCGCTGAGCCTCTCTGGGATCCCCGGTATTTTTTTTTAAACTCATAATTTGCAGGGGTGCCTGGGTGGCTCAGTAGGTTGTGTCTGACTCTTGCTTTTAGCTCAGGGTCAATGGGCTCCTGTGCTTGGTGGGAGTCTTTTTGAGTTCTCTCTCTCTCACCTTCTCTCCCCCTCTGCCCCTATTCCACTCACTCTCTTTGAAATAAATAAATCTTTGAAAAAATAAAAATAAATAAAACTCAGAAAATACAAAAAACCAAATGTCGTTCCTCTAATTCTTCACACCAGAAACCTTGGGGTAAGCTCAGTTAATCTGCCCAGCAGAGGTCTCCAGAACCTATGCACGTGTACACCTACACACAGTACACAACATACTCATGCACATGTAGGTGTGTGCTCACTCTCTCACCTGTTTGGCTGGGTGGTTATTGACCACATTGATCCTCATTCCAGCAGGATGGGTGTGGAGTGGTGCCATGGCTTTCTGCTGTGGAACCTAGAAACACACAGAGACCATAATTTTTCCCATGGGGTCCACGTCTGTTCTGCAGGAGTAAGGAATCACTGAACTTGAAATATGGTGGCACTCAGTTGTGGTCTGTGGGAAAAGCCCTCCAGAGTGCCTCATGCCCGAAGCAGGAGTCACAGAAAGCTTAATGGTCTTGCTCCACGAGCCTGGCTCAATACATGTTCACAGCTGCTGCTGTTCCTGTTACCAGAGTTGCTATGAAGACGAAATATTGTCTTCATTCCCTTTGGCAGCTGTGCAAGTGGCCAGGGCACTGAATGGGGGAGCCAGGTCTGCCTAGGCTCCTACCCTGGTACTCCTACTGCACAATGATTCTCATCTCTGAGACCAAGAGTCTTCTTTTATAAAACTGTGGTAATGATCCCAGAGTCACAGTGAGAGAGAAATAAAGTTCTATGTGTTAAGTGCTGGCCGCACAACACACGCCCCACAAGTGTTCCATCCTCTCCCCTCTTTTCCCTCCCTCACTAGCTCAATGGAGAAAGTCACTGACTTTTCCTGGAGTCCCCTTTCTTCTCCACAAAACTAGATGAAAACCTTGCCTCCCCTCCTCCATATGGTTACTATATCAACCCTTGGGAGAACTGTCATTTTGCCCAAACTCTCCTGGCCCTCACTCCCTGCCTGAATCTGCGGTTGTTGCTGGCTCCCCAGGAATACATGGCAAGAGCCACACTTACCTGGATGGTTTTGGTGAGCTTCAGGGCAGGGGTCACTGTCCCGATGGGTGGGCTCAGGAAGGTGGCTGGGGAACTCCGTTTCAAGCTGATCTTCTCCCGGGCATCGGCCACCTGCCGGGGCTTCTGGGGTGCCGTGACCTGTTGCTTGCGGGAGTTTAGCATCTCTCGGGCATCTTGCACTTTCCCTTTGATCCGGAACCGAGCATCTTTCTGCAAAAGCTTTTCCCGGGCATCCTGGACTCCCAGCTTGAGCCGGGCGTCCGAGAGGCCAATCTTCTGCCGGGCATCAAACCTCTGCTGGAAGGTGGCTGTGCGTGCTGGCTGGCCAAGAAGGCCCTGCTGGATCCCAACACGAGATCGAACACCTCCGACTCCTGGTCTGGCATTGAGACTGCAAGCAAAAAAATGCAATATGAAGCGGATCTGGGTTATCGATTGTAGCTGATCTGAAGGAAGTTGAGCCCTTGTAATACTGGGAATGGGGGGCAGGGGAGCTCCTGGAGAAACCAGAAATCAGCTCACTCTCTGAAACAAACTTATATTGCAACTTCTTTCCTAGTTTACGGCTTTTCACTTTGCCTTGCAAATAAAATTAGGAAGAAGGGCCTAGTGGTTTCTATCACTTAGGTAAGATTGTTTTGCTCCCTAGATCAGGTGCTCTGAGATAACATCAGGGACAGTAACCTCCAAATGATGCTAGCCACAAGGAAAAAAAAAAAAAAAAAAAGCATATCCCCCAAATACCCTAACCTTCAATTTCCAAAGCTCTTCCACAGCCATGCTCCCAGTCACCCCCCTCAGTACCCTGTGATGTGGACTGAACAACTTGGAGAGGCAACAATTAACAAACCGTCCCAAGCCTGCCCCTGGCAAACCCAGGCCTCCGGTGCCGGCCGATGCCCTCCTGGGCTGGGAGCAGGAGCTAGCTCCGTAACAGACTGAAGACACAAAGACTTGGTAGAAAAGAAAGAGAGCCACTGTCCAAACTGTTCCCATTCACAACACTGTGACACCAAATGTGTGGGTGTTTTCCTCACTTCAACCGTTCTTGAACTCTCTAGACACCAACCAGGTGTCCTACAATTCAGTTCTGACACTACCTACCCAGAGTCAGGGCACACCCCCTAGGTTAGGGGCTCAGTCCCATGAAAATGCCCTCACTTCAGATGCCAGTCCCAAATCCTGGGCTTTTCACACTTGGACAGACCAGGTAGAGGTGAGGGGACCCATACCCCCACCTCAAGTCTGAGAATTTGCTAGAATGGCTCATAGAACACAGCAAAAGCAGTTTACTTACTATTATTAATTATAAATGATACAATTCAGAAACAGCCAAATAGAAGAGACACACAAAGTATATGGGAAGGGATGTGGAGTTTCCATGTCCACTTTGGGTGTACCACCCTCCGAGCACACAGACATGTTCACCAACCCAGAAGCTCCCCCAAATTCCACTGTGTAGGGATTTTTATGGAGATTCCATTATGTAAGCAAGGTTGACTGTATCATTGGCCAATGGAGACTAACTCAATCTCCAGCCCCCGTCCCTCCCTAGAGGGGAGTGAGGTAGGGCTCCAAGTTCTAACTAATCATGCCTAGGTCTTTCTGGCAACTAGCCCCCATCCTGTAGCTAGCCAGGGGCCCATCAACCATCACCTCATTAGAACAGAAGGTGCTCCTACTACCCTTGTAACTTAGGAAACTCCCTAGAGTTTTAGGAACTACATGCCAGGAACCAGGGACAAGGCCAAATATGCATTTGTCACACTTAGGAACAAGAACGTCAAATTCAGAAACCGTTAAGATTGGAAATGAACTAAACTCTATTAAACAGGCCCCATTTCCTTGGGGGTTCCTCTACTGGCCGTTCAGTGGCTTGTGAGGAAGGCGAAGACGCTTCCAAGTACAACCCTTGAAGTCCTTCCTGGGGTCTGCCGGTGGCTACCTCACTCCACCTGCCCACCGCACCACGAGGCCTCTCTACTTCAGCCACCGTCACCACTACTCAGGCAGCGGGTGCCCCGCCCGGGACTTCCAGCTCCCAAGGCAACATCTCCTCTTTGGGAAACCCTCCCTCTCTGATTCTTTGAGGACAACCCTCCTTTATGCCTAGAACACATCTGCTTGTTTTCTCTTCCCCACTGGACTGGGAGGGGGAGAATGAGGCTCATTCTGTTTCAGGGCCCAGCGCTTTGTAAGTGGTGTTGCACCCTGGCTGAGCATTAGAAACTCCTGTGGAATTACTTAAAAACACAGCTGTCCAGTTCCCACCCCACAGCTACCGAATCCAAAAGCTGGGTGAAGGCCTGGGCATCTGCATCTTTGACTCCATCAGTGACCCTGGATTATGGCAGTGTTCACCATCTCCCACCTGGTGTTAGAAGGCAAAACCCCACCAAACAGGTTCCTATACGGTTTCCCACAATTGTGTCCAGCTCTCCTGGGAGGCCTCTTACACAGCAGGCCAGTCAGTGAGTGTTCCTTACTGCCTCACCCTTCCCCAACCGACTGGAGGAGACTGCCCACGGGCTCCTGTGCTGACAGCAGGAGCATACCCAAGGTACCAGCACAGGCAAATGTGACCTCCATCTTATTATCCTTAGACCAGTGGAAACACCTGCTGCCTCCAGTATGCCAGAAAACTGCCCAAGGCAGTGATGCACATACCATTTTTCTTTGAAAAATGGCAAATTAAAAAAAAAAAAAAAGGCAAATTACTTTAGGACTTAAATACTTTCCAGTGGGTCCACACAAGAACCAGGTGGAAGAGAGAGGTAAAGTCAGATTAGGTGAGGGTGAGAGGCCCTGCTTGTTGGTCCCTGTCCTATTTTCTCCTGTAAAGAAAGGAGGGAGGGAAGCAAGACCAAAAGGAATGGAGTGTTTAGAGAGGCCCCAATCAGGGAGCGAGAAATAGGTGCGTGTGGCAGACAGCACCTGCCCACCCCTGGAGTGTCCGCCCTCAGTTTCATGGTCTGAAAGGCCTTGGCGATGGTGGGGCTATGCTTTGTGGTTGTGCTGAAACCCAGAGCTACTTGAGGGGCCCCTGGAATTTATGGAAGGCACACAAACTTCCTAATCAAGCCCTACCCCCCAGGACCCACTGACAGGTGAGGTAATCCCACTGCTTTGTTTTTTGTAATGTTTCCAGCTCCCTACATCTGTTGATGATGCCCATCAAAGAAAAGCAACAGGCTATCAGTTCAGACCAAAAGTTACTACTGAAGGCCTCCTACTCATAAAATAGGGAAAGATTTTGATCAACATTTACTGTCCAGATCCAGATGAAACCGGCATTGGCAGAAAGCACTCCAGATAAAACTGTTCATCTACTACGCACGGGACCTCTCTGAAGCCAGAGGCCTTGGGTTGGGAAATCAAGTCACCAAAAAAGAGTATGGTGAGAAGCACTCCTGCTGTAAGAGGAAGGCTCTGGGGACACCACAAACTAGACACCTGTACGGTGGTGAGAAGGCTTAGACCCGGCCCAGTGTGCTCAGGAAGAGGTCATGTGAACGACGCCTACTATAGCCCAGAGCTTGCAGCCTCCTGGCTCTCACAGCTCTGCTGGGGTGCCTCCTGCCCTCAAGAGCATTCCCTCACTTGTCCCCTACCAGTTTCCACAGCCCGAGGCACCCTCCTTGGGGCAGTGGAGCCCTGGACACAATGCAGCTGAGGCACTTACTGTGCTGAATCAGGAGGATCTGTTTCCAAGCCCACACCTCCTGCAGGACCAGGAGCCTCTTAGGGGTACACCCTGCATCTTCTCGCCTGGGTCAACCCTGTACCAGGCAGATGAAAAAAAGGCTTGAAGAACTTTCTGGTCCTGAGCGCCCACCAAGTGCCAGGGACCCTACAGGGACCCCAGACATTCTCCTTTCACCCTGAGAGAATGAGGTTGTTATTTACAGATGACAGGGTCCCGCTGAAGGATGCACTGGACTTCCCTGAAACTAGTTAGAGCACCAAAAATGAAGCATGAGTCAAAAACAAAGACCAGACCTTGAGAGACACCTGGGTGGCTTAGTCGGTTGAGCATCTGCCTTTGGCTCAGATCATGATCTCCAGGTCCTGGGATCAAGCCCCACATTGGGCTCCCTGCTCAGTGGGAGCCTGTTTCTCCCTCTCCCTTTGCCCCTGATCCTGCTCATGTGTTGTCTCTGTCTCAAATAAATGATAAAATCTTAAAAAAAAAAAAAAAAAAAAAGACCAGAACTTGAAGAGTTAATGAGGCATACTGTCCCCAGGCTAAGGAAGAGCTTAGGACTCCAGTCACGTCCAGGGCCACAGCACACACTCCCGTAACCAGAGGGTGAGCGCACACACGGGATGGCCCAGTGTGCTCAGTCGGGACCCACACACCAGACCGCTTGTGTGGCAAGAAAGATCACCGAGATGTCTTGTGCTGGTCTTTTGAATCTCTCTGAACAGTACAACAGGTCCATCTGAGAGAGGGAGGGGACGTGGCTGGGGATGGAGGAGCGTGAGTTAAGTTACTTCCCCTCAATTCGTGGCATTCAGTTCCCTGGTTACACCAGTTCTTTCAACTCCTTTCATGAACAGCTTTCGGGGCTTCAGTGTTCAGGCTTTTTATAATCACTGCTCCTCCTCTTGCATGAAAAGACGGCTATTCATCCCAGCAGGCAACAGTGCTGGGTACAAGGCAGGCATTAGTCATCAGGAATTTTTCAAATAAACACTCCTGCTAGGAGTGGGTCTCCAAAACACAGAGTCCATGGTGTTACCCTCCTGTTCCAAGAACCGCGGAGGGCTTCCTAACAAAGCCCAGCCCCTCAGCAGAGCCTCTGGACTGGCCCCAGCTCCTGCCTGCAGCCTCACCTCCCACTGCACACTATCTGATGTTCCTGAAACACATTCTGCACTTTGGGCCTCAGTAAATGTTTGGGAGAAGGGTGGGGGAGGTTTGGAGCAAGGCTCTGGCCTGCCCCACCCTGCCACACTGAAACAATGCACCCACCCTGGTTCCAGGGCCCTACTAGGTACTCCATGGGGTCCTGGGAAGGGCGCTGGGGGTGACAGTGCCAATGTCCCCACTGGAACCTCAGTGCTTTCTGCCACACCCCAACCAGAGCTGGCTCTGGACAGATGTCCAGACCAAAGGATCCAGGCCCATAAAGGGGAACCCTGGTTTATTAGTAGAAGGTGGATTTTTTTTAAAAATTTATTTATTTATGATAGTTACAGAGAGAGAGAGAGAGAGGCAGAGACACAGGCAGAGAAGCAGGCTCCATGCTCCGGGAGCCCGACGTGGGATTCGATCCTGGGTCTCAGGATCGCGCCCTGGGCCAAAGGCAGGCGCCAAACCGCTGCGCCACTCAGGGATCCCAGAAGGTGGATTTTAATGCATAGGGTCTCTGGCTTAGAATTGTGTGTGCTGAGGTCACCTTTACATGGAGAAAACACGGTTTAGTTCTGTTATGGAGAATCAATCCTGAATTAGGCACTTTGCAGACAAAGAGAAACAGGATAGCATCCCCTTACCCTCCAAGAAAGTCTTGTGCAAATGTTTGTTTTAGATCCTTTTTTTCTTTTTTAAAGATTTCTATTTTTTTATTCATGAGAGACACACACAGAGAGAAAGAGGCAGGGACACCAGCAGAGGGAGAAGCAGGCTCCTCGCAAGGAGCCCGATGCGGGACTTGGTCCCAGGACTCTGGGATCACACCCTGAGCCGAAGGCAGACAGATGTCAATTGCTGAGCTACCAGGCATCCCTTAAATCTATTTCTTCCCCTCCATGTTACATAATAACTAATTTTCCTCCCCTTTGTTTTAGGTCTACATTTCTTTTATCTTATTTCAACAAGCAAACAAGCAATAAGTATCAGGACCAGAGCACTGGCCTGAACTGAAAAGCTGACCGACCTCCTTCTCCACAGCTCCAAGAACTCCCCAGACAGGGCATCTGGGCCAGAGCTGCTCAGGGCAGCACATGCCCAACCTTTCCACTACAATGGCCTGCCGCCTTTCATGAACATTCTCTAACCAGAAGGTGGCAGTGGACAATTATCTTCCAAGAGCTAAAGTAATCAAACCAGGGCGGGCGACTCTGCAAACTTGACCAGAAGCAGTACCCTCATGTTTTAAGGAAAACACCAACAAGAACAGGCCCGCATTGCAGTTGGTGCCGCGAGCTGTCCAGGGGAGACTCCTCCATAGGTCTTGGGCAACCAAAGTCACCAAAATCAAGCTGTGCATGGTGAGGGACAGCGCCTCACCATGGCTGAGTGAAGTATCACACAAAACTCTTTCTCTATTTGCAGGTTAATCAGGGAAATATATATATATATAAATTTAAGACTTTATTACTTATTCATGAGAGACACAGAGAGGGGGCGGGGGGCAGAGACACAGGCAGAGGGAGAAGCAGGCTCCATGCAGGGAGCCCGACGTGGGACTCGATCCTGGGTCTCCAGGATCAGGCCCTGGGCTGAAGGTGGTGCTAAACTGCTGAGCCACCCAGGCTGCCCCAGGGAAATCTTTTGATAAGATTAATTCAGGACCCTGGTAATAATGGTAATGACCCCTTTCTAGACTTACAAGGTGTGATGAACACAAAACAGAATGGCTGCACTAAAGAACAAGCACATTCCATGACCTGTGGGGAAACACGTTATTTACACTTCCACAGGTTCATTCTTTCCTTTCCTTTTTTTTTTTTTTAATTCATGAGAGACACAGAGAGAAAGGCAGAGACATAGGTAAAGGGGAGACTAATGTGGGACTTGATCCTGGGACCCTGAGCTGAAGGCAGATGCTCAACCATTGAGCCACCCAGGTGTCCCTACACTTCTACAGGTTCTTGTGCTATTTCCACTAAGAGGAAGAGTTTTTGGAGATAAACACTGGCTCTACTTAAATTATCAAGCACAAAGTTTTTCCTGGGACCTCCATGCAATGCCATCCCACAGTTCCCAGGAAGGAAGAATTCTTCCAGGAAGCATGTAAGACAATATAGTTACTGAAGGAAACGACATTTGTTCACTGCCATTAGCTGAGACCTTTCAGTTCTCGACAGGGATGCCCTAGATGTAGTTCACTGGCTTTGCAAGGTAAAAAAACAAACAACAACAACAACAACAAAACCCAAAAAGTTTTAAAAAGATTTATTCATTCACGAGAGACACAGACAAAGAGGCAGAGACACAGGAAGAGGAAGAAGCAGGCTCCCCATAGGGAGCCTGACTCGGGACTTGATCCCAGGACCCTGCGATCACACCCTGAGCCTAAGGCAGATGCTGAGACACTCAGGCGCCCAAAACTGAAGTTTCTACCAGGTTTAATCCAAATACAGCATGTAGGCCAAACTAGCACATAGACAGCTCTAGTCTCTGGACAATCCCCCAATCCAATTGTTGTGTAAGAGCAGAGTAATATTCTCACATATTCTTACACAAAACTGGAAAGTTACTCTATTTAAAAGCCTTCAGTAATGATGATTAGAGCTAACATTAATTGAACACTTAAAACCATCAGATACTTTCAAAGTATTTTACATTAGCAATCACCTAATAAATATCTATTCTTATAAATAAGAGATATGGAATGGTTAAGTAACCTAAGATCACGTGGAAAGTAAGAGAAGGGAATCGAAATCTTAGTTTGACTCTAGGGCTTCAACACTAACCTAATGTTCCCCATCGGGGGGAGGGGTTGGGCTTCTCCTCCTTTAAAGGGAAGATCCACAATAATTGCTATCATTTGCTGAACACTTACTACCTGGTGCAAACTTTATTTTTTTTTTTTTGGTGCAAACTTTAAAACATTTTTATATTTTCAAACCTAATCTTCTCAACAACCTGCCAGAAACCATTACTACAAATGAGGAAACGTCCCAGCTCTGAAGTCATCTTGCCAGGGTGGCACAGAACCCAACAACAGGCCCACCAGGGCACCAGGTCGTCCTGGTGGCTCAGTGCCCGGTCATCCCACGGATCCTCACCGAATGCCCAACACCAGACTCTGCACACATCGGAGCCAACAAAGTACAGACCCAACAGACAGTACAGACCGTCTGCAGTCAGGAACAGAGGGGGGTGACTGCAGAAAGGGCACGTCCTGGGTAGCCGGTTCATTCAGCAACTGTCCATCAAACTGATGAAACTCAGTCTTAGAAGTGGCCAGAGGACCGAGCACCAATTCCACACCAGTTACCAGCGGGAAGACCTAGGAGAGAGCTACTCAGAGAGCAGCTGAGCAAATTAACGGTTCCTGTGTGCCTGTTATGAACCAGAAGCCAGGTGCAGAGCTGGCTGGTGAACTACGCCGTGGCGGCAGGTGCAGTGCATGTGTGCAGGGGGCTGGGGGCGGTGGGGATGCACTTGTTAGCCAAGGAGAGGATCTACTTTCTAACCACCGCAGGCGGGAGGTATTAACAAGCATCTACTCAGTGAATGACTTCCGATCCGAGAAGACCGTGTCTAACATTTCTACAGGCAGTTTACAAGGACATGTGAAGTACTGCACGTATGCTGGAGAACTGCAGGCCACAGTCCCACTTCAAACAGGTGAGAGCTGGAGCTGGAAATGAGGGACGTTTAAGGGTCCGGAGCAACTTCCGGGCACCTCATCGCACATCATCTCCGCACTCAGCCAGAACAGTCTTCTCCGACAACCATCAAGAAGCTCTAACCTCCGGGCCCACCTGTTTTGTTTTTGTTTTGTTTTTTTTTTTTCTTGCCCAAGCCCGAGGCCAACTCGGCCAGCTCCTAAAAGGCACGCAGCCCCCCAACTTTCAGGGGGACGAACTCTTCGTGGCCTCGGGTTAAGTCCCTCTACCTCTCCCGGCCTCAAGCTCGCCATCTGCAAAATGGAGAAATATGAATACGGTACGGGGCCGGGACGGTTGCGAAAGGGGGCAAAACGGCACGGTGGTTGCACCAAAGCGCTCAGGGGACTTGAACCGCCGCACGAGCGAGGCGGGGGTTAACGGGGGCGGCGGAGCCGGGGAGCGCACGCAGGGCCTGCGAGCTGAGGTCTGGGTCGCGGCCTCGCCGGCAGCAGATCGGCGGAGCCCGAGCGGGTCACTTCCCCGCTAAACTTCGGCCGTCCTAACCCCAAGGCCGCGCGGGGATCGAGGAGCAGCGCGGCGCCCAGGGCCAGTCTCCCCCCGGACCGGGCGGCCCCGGGAGACCCCGCGAGCCCTCCCCCCGCCCCGGGCGCCCCGGCCCCGCCGCCCCGGCCCCGCCGGCCTCCCCGGAGCGACGGCGCTCCCAGCCAGTGTGGACCGCCCGGCGGCCGGGCCCGCGGAGGCGGCGGGGCCGGGCCAATGAGGAGCGCGGCTGCGGCAGGGGGCGGGCGCACACGGCGCTGCGCTTCGCTCCCGGGCCGCTCCCTCCCCCGCCCCGAGCCCCGCTAGGCCACGGGCCCTGAGCACCGGAGGGAGAAAGGGCCGCTCACCGCCCCTTCGTCGCAGCCCCGCGCTTCCGGATGAGCTCGTCCAGGGAGATGTCCGCCATCTTGCGCCGCCGAGCGAACCGCGAGCAGCTGAGACTCCCCCAGCCCTCGAGCCCGCCCCTTCGGCCGCTACGGAGCAACGAGCCGCTTCCGGCGTCCGGCCGACGAACTCTCGCGACAGCTCAAACCAAGACAAGAACCGGAAGGGGCGGAGAGATCCCCGTGAGCCTTTGCGACGCCAGCTGCTTATCTGCATACGGGGGGGTCGGAGTACCTACGGTTCCCGGTTCTCCCCAGACGAAGAAATAAAATGGAGAGTGACATAAAAAATCAACTAAGTGAATGAGACGAACTGCGAAGGGACTGGGCTCTTGGTTTAACGGTCGCTCTGCTACTCACCGTAGGGCTAATGAGAAGGGGATTCATTACCCAGCGAGTAACACGTGTAGCTCTTTATGCCTTAAACTTATGAGTAAGGAAAATAACGATTCGGGGTGACGCCCGAATCCTCACTGCTAATGTGAGACGAATTTTTGAGCGGGTAAAGGTCGCCCCTGAGGTGACCCGCCTACTTTGCGGGATGCCTGGGAGCCGCGATCTGCCCGGCCCCCTCTACCCTGAAAGAGCAGACGAGCGGCCCGGTCTGCGGGCGGGCTGGGGGGGCCTCCAGCTGTTCCCATCGGGCCGGCGCACCTGCCCTACCGGGTCTTTCGCGGTTTCTGGGCTTGGGGGGGGCTTGTTTTGTTTTTGTATCGCTTTTGTGGTTGTTTACAAGAGATTTTGCTTATTCCTGAAAGACAGAGAGAGGCAGGCACCCAGGGAGCCCTACGCGGGTGGCTCCCAGGACCCCGGGGATCAGGACCTGAGCCGAGCGAGACGCTCAGCCACGGGGCCCCCCTGGCGTCCCATTTCCGGACGTTTTGCAGTTTATGGTGCATGAAAATAAAAGTCGCCTTTCACGTCTGGCCCCGTGAGCCTTAGGCCGATGACCTCGCCCAGGTCTCTGAAGCTTCCCCCGTCATTACAAGGGTTAAGGCCAGCCGCTGCCCTGGGGCACAACCGCAGCTGCCGGTGTGGCTGCTCACTGGCCCCAGCTGCAGGACCGCCTGGGGCCCGTCCCACCAGCCGCGCTTCCCGGCGGCTTGACTCTCACCCCGCAAATCGTTCCGATCTTCCCGATGATCTAGAAAACCGGGCGAAGGACAGGTCGTCGGGAGGAGGAAATAGACGTTACAATCCATGGGTGGAATTGCCTGGTCTGTGATGGCAGCCCCAGGCCCCAGCACTGTAAGCTTGGCGCGAGCTACATGTTTGCTGCATCAATCGATTAAAAAAAAAACCAAAAAAACAAAAAAGAATACACGTAGGGCGCTGTGCTGTGAGTTATTACTATTATTAATTTCTAAGTGCATTGATGCCCGCGGAGTTCCTGTACTGTTGACAGGCCGCACCGTAGTTAAAAGTCTGGCAGCAGAAGGTGTGCGGGCCAGAGCTGGCAAAGCCAGCGGGGCTGGGCCGGGCCCCAGACCGAGGAAGGGAGTCGGGGTCCCACCTGCCAAGCGGCGATTGGGTGCTGGCTGGCCCTCCTCAGCCGTCAGACGGCACCGCTAGCCCCTCCCTTCCTCCCTCTCGCCTTCCGTCCCGGAAGTGCAGGGTGGGGGGACGACGACACGGGGACCAGGTTGGGGCTCAGCACCCTCCCCTCCCCTGGACCGCGCAGGGCAGGTGCAGAAGAAGGTGGAAGGGGCCACGGGACCCGAGGGGTTAAAGCCCTGTCACGCCTTAAATGCAATGTAAAAAAAAAAGTGACCTAAAGGTTATTTTTCAAGCTAGTTCAGTGAGGTCATTAGCTGAGGTCAGCTGTCATCGAGGTGACCTTCCCTTGGAGGCATTTCATAAGGTGTAGAGCTTTGTAGGGTGCTGATTGTCTGGAGGACAGGGATCTGGAATCCGGTCACGCGGAGGGTGGGGACAGGGAAGTGGCGATCCTGAGGCAAGGGCCCTCCCCATGCCTGCGACGTTCCCACGTTCCGGGAGGGACGAAGAGCATCACACTCCCAGGCAGGGCTTCCCTCCATATCTTGTATGGACACATAGGACTTTTTGCTCAGGGCGAGCAAACGTGGAATTGCTGGGAACGTACTGGGTCCTGCTTTGTTTGAAAATAGACCAAGGATTGTGCCCTGCCTGGGAAAACCGCGTCCCTGTGGGCAGAGACTGGGAGTCGGGCTGCATCTGGGGCTGTGACTGTCCAGGGACCCCTGCCCACCCCCCTTCTGGGGACTTCGGCCACCCTGAAATGTGTATCCTTTTATGAATTCCTTTCCTTTCTTGCTCTAATATGATTGGAGTTTTGTGTTTTTTGTTTGAAGATTTATTTTATATATATAGAGAGAGAGCACGAGGGGGGGGGGGCAGAGGGAGGAGACAGAAACACAAGCAGACTGCGCTGAGATGGAGCCAGACACGGGACTCGATCTCATGACCCTGAGATCAGACCTGAGCTGAATCAGGACTTAACTGGCTGAGCCACCCAGGTTCAGGCGCCCCAATTTTTAAAAATTCTATATGCAAGCTCATAATATTACCTGTGAATCCACTTCAGGAGGCTCAAGAGGGTGTTATAAATGTTATTTTAAAAGGGTGTCAGGTCTGAGAGGGTGGCAAGTCATGACCTAGTTCACTCACCTGTTATACAGATGGAGAAACTGAGGCGAGGAGAGAGGGAGGGCCCAGGTCCAATCCATGCCCTTCTCAGCTCCCGGGGACAGCCCCTTGTGAGCTCAGGCAGGTGCGCCTTCAAAGCCCGACACTCTGGCCTGCTTTCCCATCCTCCAGAAGGGGGTCACGATGAGGAGACGGGACCTGAGCGCAGTGTCTGCAGGGTCCCCAGTACACAGTAGGTGTGGAGAAGGGATTCCCAGGCCAAGCCCTTCCCTGCCCACTGAGGAGTCCCAGCCCTACTCCTGATGTGGGCCAGGGCCAGAAGAGAGGGGAAGAGAGGAAAGAGAAAGGGGCTCCCTGGCCTGAGGCTGGGCTTCCGGCATTCCTCCCTGCACACTCCCCCATCCTCTCCTCTTCCCTACTCCGCTCCAGTCACACTGGCCTTCACGATGCTCCTACCAGGTCTCTGCCCCAGGGCCTTTGCACTTGCTGGTCACCCTAGAGCACGTCTACTGTGCTTCCTTTCCAGGCTCATTTCCGCTGTCCCCTCAGCCACCTGCTTTCTTCCATCTGTTTCTCAAAGTTAATTCCACAAGCTTGTTCCCAAGGTATCTGTACTTGCTGTTCCATCACCTTGAACACCTACCCCAGCAGGGCCAGCTTCGTTGTCTGTTCAGAGAGAACAGCCCTCACTCCCACGTTGCCTCATGGCCTGACTTGTCTTGGCATTTACCGTTTCACTCATGACACCGTCTGGCACTTGTCTTTCTCACCAGCACCCCAGGAATAGGGGAGGGCGTGTGGGAGCGGCTGCAGCCAAGTCTCCGGCACTTGGAACAGTGCATGAAGGCATGAGGGAGCGAGGGACCCCTGTGCCACCTTCCACGGGGAGAGTGGTGCCTGCCTCACCTCATGGCCCAGCTTCCGACCTGAAGGCTAGTCATGGCTGAGCCTCAGGCTCTCCAGCAGAAACCAAGGCCAGTGATTTCTCCCTGGTTTTCAGAGGGGAAAACAGAAAGGAAAACAATGAGGACATACAGAGCTGGACAACACAGGAGCGGAGAGAGCTTTTCACGCGGTGTGAATAAGGCTGGGCGTCAGGGGGCTGGCACGAGGGGAGGACTCCAGGCTGGACTCCCAGAGTCCATACACCCTGGCTCAACTTTCTGTCTCCAGGACTCTAACCTCAAAAAAATCATCGGAAGGGCACCTGGCTGGCTTCAGTTCAGTAGAGCATGTGACTCTTGAAGGTTGTGAATTCAAGCCCAGTGTTGGCAGGGAGCCTACTTAAAAAAAAAAAAAAAAAAAGAAATCATCTGAAAGGAGGATGAAGGCCACCACTGTTTACAAAGTCCACAAACTGGAAGCAGCCTAACTGTCCAAGGGTAGGGATTTGCTATGCAATCAATTATGATCCCTGTGGGCTTCCAGAGAATGTGTGACCCCAGGGGAAAGCCCATCTGATGGAGGAAAAGCAGCAGTCCCATGGTGGGCCATGTGGTTTCATCAGAGGCATTTGCCTGTGGATGTACAGTATTTTTTTCCCCTGTGCATACTTTTCTGTACAGTCCAAAGCTTACACGATGAACACGAACACACAAAAAGTGAGTGCTGGGGCCCTTCCTGTCTCTTCTCCCACACAGAGCCTCAAGGAACCGCAAAAGGGTTAGTATTAGCAAAGTTTTATTTCAATGTTTTTTTTTCTGCTCATAAATGATTCTGAAAAAGCCCATATGCAAGAGGCGAACCCACCCTTCTAAAGGCAACATCGAGGTCACTGAGAATGCTGCTCAGACAAAAACTTCCCCTGTGCTGGGGTGCGGGCAGCATGACGGGTGGGGTTTGGGACAGAGGAATAAATAAACATTGTCTCAGCTCTGCCATCAGCACTGGTGGCCCAGGGCCCCGAGGCGGTCCATCAGACTGCCGGGCTGAAGGCGTGGAACTCCCAAAGCTGCCCGGATGCTTAGATGTGCTGGGGAGATGCTGAGGCTTCAGGAGGGCTGAGATGCCCCCCGAAGAGCCTTCAGCCAGCCCCCTCCTCCTACTCCAGCCTGGGAGAGAGCCCAGCTCTCTGCTGACTGGGCCTGCCTGGGTCCTGGGGTGGGGGCAGACTCTCACCCCCACAGCCCCAGCCAAAGGGACTTTTTGGTGTTACCTGTCATGTAGTGTCAGGTGCTAAGGCCTGGCTGTGGCCCTGAGCAGATAGTGAGGAGTGGCAGGTGAGGGTCCCAAGGCAGTGGCTGGGGGGGACCCTGCCACCTGCAGCTCTGGGCTGCCTGTACATTTGTGTTTATTTCCAGAGGGTAGTCTGCTTTGGGAGGGAGGGGCTGGGGTGGAGCATGGTGCTTGCAGACTTGGCCTAGTAGTGTATGGGTGGGTGGGGTGGAGGTAGGGAAGGGTCAGGGCCAGGGCCGAGCATCACTGGTAAGAACCGATGAGGGCCAGACAGGTAGTGGCCCAGAAGGTGGCTGGCGATGGCCCACCTGTAACAGAACCCTGCTCCCAAAGGGATCCCTCGGGGGCCAGCCCAGTGGGGTAACCAGCCAAGCAACAGGCAGGCCAGGCTGAACCCAGGACCACAGTGGGAGATGTGGGGGAAAGTGATGTTAAAGAGCAGTGGTGGGGAGGAGTGGGTGCGGACAGGGCACAGTGAGTATGCGGGGCAGGCGTGCGAGCAGCCAGCGCCTGGCCATCAGAAGGCAAAGCAGCGCTCCTTGGGGTGGCCCACGCGGTCCAGGTTGGGCAGGCAGGCATACTGGATCATGGGCGGGGGTCCACACATCAGTATCAGCGGCTCCTCCTCTGGAGGTGGAAGGTGGTCCCGGATCATCTCTTCATTTACGAAGCCCTGGCTGTAGTCCCAGGCTGCGGGGAAAGACCAGGTGAGTCCAAGTACAGCTGTGTGACTGACCAATGACTGCCCACCTGCCCAAAGCCCCTCCCCCTGATCACCACACTCCTGTGCTGTGACTTTCTCCCTTCTTTCAAGGAACACTGAAGAATGAAGAGGCTGATCCAAAGCAAATGCTTGCTCTGATCCCTTGCCCCAGCCTGGCTCACCCAGAACAAAAAAAGCCAGTAAGTAATTAACAAAATGGCAATAAGTGCATAGCTATCAATAATTACTTTAAATGCAAATGGACTAAATTCTCCAATCAAAAGTGGTTGAGTGGATAACAAACAAGACCTTTCTATACTGACACAAAAGCAGGCACATAAACCAATGGAACAGAAGAGAAAGCCCAGAAACAAACCCATGATTATATTATTATTATTTTTTAAAGATTTATTTATTCATGAGAGACAGAGAGAGAGAGAGAGAGAGAGAGGGAGAGAGGCAGAGACACAGGCAGAGGGAGAAGCAGGCTCCATGCAGGGAGCCCAATGTCGGACTCGATCCCGGGTCTCCAGGATCAGGCCCTGGGCTGAAGGCAGCACTAAACCATTGAGCCACCGGGGCTGCCCCAAAACCCATGATTATATATGGTCAATTAATCTTCAACAAAGGAGGCAAGAATATCCAATGGGGAAAAAACAGTCTCCTTAACAAATGGTGTTGGGAAAACCAGACAGCTACTGGACCAGGTGAAACTGGATCACTTTCCTACACCATACACACACATAAAAACCCTCAAAATGGGTTAAGGACCTAAATATGAGATCTGAAAACAGAAATCCTAGAAAAGTGCACAGGCAATAATATCTCTGACATCAGCCATAGCAACATTTCTTTAGATATGTCTCCTGAGACAAGAGAAATTAAAGCAAAAATAAACTATTGGGACTACATCAAAATATAAAGCTTCTGCAAAGCAAAGGAAACCACCAACAAAACTAAAAGACAACCCTACTGAATGGGAGAAGATGTTTGCAAATGATGTATCTGATAAAGGGTTAGTATCCAAAATATATAAAGAACCGATACAACTCAACATCCAAAGTCCAAATAATCCAATTAAAAAATGGACAGGAGACACGAACATTTATCCAAAGACATACAGATGTCCAACACACACATGAAAAGATGCTCCACATCACTCATCATCAGGGAAATGCAAATCAAAACTACAATGAGCTATCACCTCACACCTGTCATAATGGCTAAAATAAAAAACCCAGGGGCACCTGGGTGGCATAGTTGGTTGTACATCTCCCTCTGACCCCTCCTCCCAACATGTGCTCTCTCTCAAATAAATAAATAAAATCTTAAAAAAAAAAGGGAAAAATAATAAAGAACACAAGAAACAACAGGTGTTGGTGAGGATGTGAAGAAAAAGGAACCCTCGTGCACTGTTGGTAGGAATGCAAACTGCTGCAGCCACTGTGGAAAACAGTATGGAGGTTCCTCAAAAAATTAAAAAGAATTATGCTATGATCCAGTAATCACACAACAGGATATTTACGCAGAGAATACAAAAACACTATTCAAAGGGATACATGCACCCCTATGTTTATAGCCACATTATTTATAATAGCCAAATTATGAAAGCAGCCCAAGTGTCCATCAATTGATGAATGAATAAAGATGATGTCGTATATATACATATTTGTGTGTGTGTGTATATATATAGATACATACATACATACATACATACAATGGAATATTACTCAGCCATTAAAAAAGAATGAAATCTTGCCATTTGCAATGACATGGATGTAGCTAGAGACTGTAGTGCTAAGTGAAATAAGTCAGAGAAAAACAAATACCACATGATGTCACTCATACATGGAACTTAAGAAACAAAACAAACAGACACAGGAAAAATACCAGACAAACCAGAAAACAGACTCCTTAACTGTGGAGAACAAAGAGACGGTAGCCAGAGGGGAGGCGGGTGAGGGGACGGGTGAAACAGGTGACGGGGCTGAAGGGTACACTTGCCATGACGAGCACTGCGTAATGTATGGCATCGCTGAATCACTTTATTGCACACCTGAAACTTAACAACTGCCTCAACTGCAAGTTGACGACACTGGAATTAAAACAAAGCAAACCAACAAGACCTATCCATAAGTTGCCTACGAGACACTTGAGATGTTTATAAGGGCACACACAGTGTGTTGAGAGTGAAGAGACAGAAAAAGATACTCTATGCAGACAGAAAGGAAAAGAAGGCTGCAGGAAATAAGAGACAAAGAAGGGCATCACATGAAGGTAAAGAGGTCAATCCAACAAGGAGAGAACGTTGGTCAATATTTACGCACCCAACATAGAAGCACCTGATTATATGAAGCTAATACTAACGGATCTAAAGGGGGAAATAGCAACACAATAAAAGTAAGGGATTTGAACACTCTGCTTTTATCAATGGATAGGTCACCCAGACAGAGAATTGATACAAAAACATTGGCCTCAAGCAACATGTTAGCCCCAATAGACTTCAGACATTTACCATTTACAGAAAGTTCCACCCAAAAGTTCACACACATTCTGCTCAAATGCACACCTCACAGCTGTCAGAATGCCATCATCAGGAAGACAAGAAATGACAAATGTTGGTGAGGACACGGGGAACAAGGAGCCTTCGCGTGCCGTTGGTGGGAATATAAGCTGGTGCAGTCACTGCGGAAAACATTACGGATATTCCTCAAAGAATTAAAGATAGGATTACCCTATGATCCAGTAATTTCGCTTTTGGGTATTTATCAGGAGAAAATGAAAACACTAGCTCAAAAAAGATATCTGCACCCCACGTTCACTGCTGCATCATTTACAACAGCCAAGATATGGAAGCTTCTAAATGTCCAGTGAGGGATATATGGGTAAAGTAGGTGTGGTGTAAATAGTCGGGGAGCAAGAATTTCTGTCCCTTCAAAGGCTCTTCTAGCTGAACTAAGAACAAAACGGACATGAGAGATTTATGGGAGAAAATCAAATTTAATAGCGTAAGTACAGGGAATGCAGACAGACACGGACATTCCAAAGGCGGTCAGGCAACAAGAGGTGGATATGTCCTTCTGAGCTAAGGAGAAGGGAGCAGGAGTCTGGGATTTCAGAGGAAAGGAATGGAAAGGAATGCATTTCACAGGGCGATAAGAAGAGCAGATGTTTGCTCTGCGATACAGATGGGTCAGTCTGATAAAATTTAGCTCTGTTAATAACCCTACCCAATTTAGCTGCTTCTGTGTGGATAGGGAAGGATAAAAGTTTCTCTTGAGCCCCACAGGGTCACAAGTGCCTTCAGCTCAAAATAATCCACAGGCCCAAGTGGCACATTCGGGGGGGGGGGTGTTCTGAACCCCTTCAAGACAATGGAATATTATTCAACCATAGAAAAGAATGAAACCTTGCCATTTGTAGCAACACGGATGGACCTCAGGGGCATTATGTGAAGTGAAATGAGTCAGACAGGAAGATAAACACTGTATGATCTCACTCATACGTGGAATCTTTAAAGGAAAAAAAAAACACCACCACAAAACAGCAAGACTGAAAAAACCCAAGCTCACAGATACAGAGAATAGGCTGCTGGTTACCAGAAGCAGGGGTCAGGGGAGGGAGGAACAAGTGGAGGAGATTTAAGTCTATATTCAAAAAGTTGCACGGGACTGAGTTGTATTTGCTAGTGTATAAAATGTGCAGGCATATAAAATAACTCAATTTTACAAGAATTTTTTTTCTAGAAAGTGTATTTGTCTTTATAGGTGTACTGAAGGGGGCTTCGTGGGGAGGAACACGGGTCAGCTGCATTTGCGAGGCAGCCCTGCTTCTTGGTTCCTTCTCTTAGTTCCACGCTAGCCCAGCCGGCCTGTTACCATGATCTTTCTCAGCACCGAGAATTTCAGCTTTTACCTAACACTGTAGCAATTCCCCCACTCCTCTTGAACGCTGGGTCAGAGTAATGGTAAAGTGTAAGATGCTAGACCACCCAGCCCAAAGTCCTCCTTGGGTCACTGTTCAGTCTCCAGGAGCCAGCACTCAGGTGGTGGCATCGCCATGTGCCACCACCAGGGGTCAGCGCCGGGGCCTCCCCATGGGCCACAGGGACCAGAAGGCTCCCAAGGGTGATGAACCCAGCCCACCACCCTATCCGAAACTGCAACCAGCAGCGAGCAAACTTCCCACCTCTGACTGAGACACAGATTCAGTGGCCCCCTCCAGACGCCCCTGCCTGACTACAGTTGACCCGGGAACAGCACAGGTCCACGCAGAGGTGCAGCTTTTGCCATCAGGACAGTACGGTCCTGTAAATAGACTTTCCTTATGATTTTCTTGATAACATTTTCTTCTCTCTAGCCCAGTTTCATTGTAAGAATACAACGTGTAATATACAAAATAGGTGTGTTTAACCGATTCTTTTTTTTTTTTTTTTAATTTATGATAGTCACAGAGAGAGAGAGAGGCAGAGACACAGGCAGAGGGAGAAGCAGGCTCCATGCACCGGGAGCCTGATGTGGGATTCGATCCTGGGTCTCCAGGATCGCGCCCTGGGCCAAAGGCAGGCGCCAAACCACTGCGCCACCCAGGGATCCCTGTTTAACCGATTCTTGGTGCCACTGATAAGGCTCTGGTCGACAGCAGGCTCTTAAATTTTTATGGACTCAAAGGTAATATGCAGATTTTTGACTACATGGGGGTGAGGGTCAGTGTCTCTAATCCTGGTGTTGCCCAAAGTCAACTGCACTTTGTTTATCCCTGGTCTCGCTAACCACCTGCTACTCGGCTCTATAACTTGCTAAGAAACCTGTTTCCTGCTCATCTTCTCCCACTGCAACATCAGCTCACAGGGCCAAGCTGACTGCAGGAAGAGCAGAGGGGCCAACAGGAAGCCAAGTTCAGATGGCCTGGCCCAAGCCGGCCGGCCAGTGACACACCTCAGGGCACTGCTGGTGAGGTCCGCAGTCCACTAAGGCCCCAGCCTAGCTCTTGGCCAAGATGCCCAGGACCTGATTTGGTTGACCCAGAAGGGTGGCTCCTTTCACAGGGATGGGCCCAGATGCCCCAGTTCCTGCGATGGGTGCTGCCCCAAGGCCCCATCTGGTCAGTTCTGGGGGAAGTGGACGTGGCATGTTCCCCACACCAGGCTGAGCCCTGGGGGACCCTGGGCCCTGGGGAGGGGAGTAGGCAAAGCAAGGCAAAGCAAGGCAAAGCAATGCTGGTGCCCACAAGGATGCTTCAAAAATGTTCAGTTTCCAACATTTAGAAGTTTCCTGTGAAGATGCAGGTCCCTGCTCCTCTTGACATGTGGAAGGGCCTGACCGACAGGGCTGCAGTCACATGGAAGGACTGCTCCGCTCCCTACAGTCTCCAGACCCTGGAGCCGAGCATCATCAGTCCCACAGACCAAGAAGCCTGAGCTACTGCTTTTCTCAGAGAACAAATTACGCTTCTACCTGAAGCAGGAGGATGACGCAGAATTTAACTCCCAGAGGGTGGCCTCATCTCAGGTTTTGTGGGCAGCCCTCATTTGTTGCCTCCTACGTGACCTTGGCAAACTGGATGGGTAGAATGGGGTTCACTGTATGTCAGCCCCCCCCCCCAGGGCTGATGTCTGGGGAGAAAATGGTGTAATGTACCTTACAGGGTACAAACTGCACAGCAGGAGCAGTTGCGCCCCCACCACCCCCACCCAGAGTGAGCCCCTGGACCAAGGGCAGAAGGCCAGCTCTCTGTCCAGCAGGGGGCAGTGCAGCCAGGGGAAGGCCTTGGGCTCTGGAGGAGGAGAACGGAAGTTCAAGCCTGGGCTCCGGTGGTGTGTTTCTAGCCCTGTGCTGTGGGACGCTTACTTCCCCTCTCTGATCCCTCCTTCACTGTGAGGTGGGTCGCACCATCTCCCTCTCCCAGGCCACCCTGAGCACCCTCGGAGACCATGCAGGTAGAAGGCCCAGCACCCCCACCCAGCCCAGCACACTCAGCGCCTCCGTCTCTCACCTTCCGGGGCTTTGTCCACTGTGTACCAGAGCTTGAAGCGAGCAGAATGTTCATTCCGCAGTTCCTCCAGCTCGGGCCGCAGCAGGATGTCCTTCTCAGTCTGGGGAGGGGGGGACAGGGCCCAGAGGTCAGGACAGGCTGCCCTTGGAGACACTTGTCGCCCAAATGGCTCATCATCCCGGCCACCGTGGGCCACGTGCTTGGTAAAGCTGGCCGGAGAGCAGCCTGGCGGAGCAGGCCCAGACGCCCAGGAGCGCACGCCCCTCTTTCCCCATCTCACCTGAGGAGCGGCTCGAAGCTGCAGATGCTCATTACAAAGGGGTCTGCAGACGGTTTCTACCACGGTGGGGAATGTGTCCCGATAGGTCAGGGACTGGAGGAGGCCAACAGCTAAAGACAGGTACAGTCAACTATATAACCAGGAAGACCGGAAAGAAACAGGCCAAAACCTGCACCATGACCGTCCCACTTAAAATAGCAAGTGGTTCCAGTGACAGGTCCCTCATCCCAAGGACAAGCCTCCTTACATTCTGGCATCTCAGGCTGCACATCCTTAAGTCAGGAGATGCAGACAACTGTTCCCCAAACCACACCTGCTCCTTCCACAGCCTCCCCCATGCTGTGGCCTACAGCTCCCCACTCTGCTCCCACCGGCTTCATCCAGCTGGCCCCACGTGGCCCTGTCCTTCAACCTGGTGTCACCTCCTCCAGGAAGCCTTCCTGGACTCCCTAGGGGCCTCAGCGATCTACTCCTCACATGGCCCCTCTGTCTCATGTGTCTCCAGGTCACTCAGACAGAAGGAGCTCCTCAGGCCAGTGGGTGGTATGACTGACCCCATGGGACTGTTATAAACTCAGGACCAAAGAACTCTCTGCTCCCAGGGGCAGGACGGCATCTCGACATGCTCAGCAAAATGGACTAAGGGTGCTAACTGCAGCGAGGATGGGTAGGAAAGGACAGATAATTCGAAGCCACAGCGATTAATATTTCCTGAGTACCCACTGCACGGAGAGCGTCCTGCTGGCAGGAGGGACTGACCCAGCTCAAGCTGTACTTCTCTCAAGGACCCTGAAGTCCTGGCTCCTCAGTGTTCCCCTCCAGGAAATGGGCTGCAGGCAGGAGGCATGAGCCTCTGCAGGTCCCAGGGAGGAGGATATTGATTGTTTCTCCATTTTTTTCATTCCTTTCTTTTTTTTTAAGTAGGCTCCATGCCCAGCATGAAGCCCAATGTGGGGCTTGAACCCACAACCCCAAGATCAAGACCTGAGCTGAGATCAAGAGCCAGACACTTAACTGACACTTAACCATCCAGATCCCCTCGTTTCTCCCATTTCTAAGTGGGGTAGTGGGCCCTCCTGTCCTGATCGAGGACAGGGCCAAGGCTCAGGCTGGACAAGCTCTGTGTAAAAAATACAAAAATATGGAAGTAAAGAAAAATCCCAATAGTCTTCAGAATAATGAGGGCTAGAATTGTTTATCTTTTAGACTTTGTTTTTCTAGTAAGTACATATACTTTCTTTTTAATAAAAATGGGATCTGGGCACGCAGGCCACCTTGCCACCTGCTCTTCTAAGGTAAGAACACGCCATAGCGTGTCATCAGCCTCCAAGCACCAACGCTTCCCTTACCAGCTGCCCAGCTTGGGCTGAACAATGGGACCACCTGTTCTCCACTGAAAGGCATTTAAATTGTTTTGCACACCCTCCTTCATAAACAATGTCTCCCTGACCATCACTGCCTTACCAGTTCCTTAGATAAATCTCAGAAAGTGTAAGGCATTCAATACACGTGGGTTTCAGTAATTCACACACCAGCAGCGTGCCCAGTCTTGGGCCAGTGGGTAATGACCATTGAATCTTGGCCAGCCAGATGGATGGAAAGTAAATCTCACGTTTTATTTATTTAAGTATTTGTTTTAAAGTTAGTTAGTTAGTTTGTTTATTTATTTATTTATTTATTTATTTATTTATTTATTTTTAATATTTTATTTATTTATTCATGAGAGACACAGAGAAGAGGCAGAGACACAGGCAGAGGGAGAAGCAGGCTCCATGCAGGGAGCCCGACGTGGGACTCGATCCCAGGTCTCCAGGATCAGGCCCTGGGCCGAAGGCAGCGCTTAAACCGCTGAGCCACCCGGGCTGCCCTTATTTGTTTGTTTTGAAGTAATGTCTACCCCCAATGTGGGGCTCGAACCCACGACCCCAAGATCAAGAGTTGCATGCTCTTCTGACTGAGCTAGCCAGGTGCCTATATATTTTTAAAATTATTTTATTTTTTAAAGATTGTATTTATTATTTAATATTTTATTTATTCATGACAGACACACAGAGAGAGGCAGAGACACAGAGAGAGAAAGAGAGGCAGAGACACAGGCAGAGAGAGAAGTAGGCTCCACACAGGGAGCCTGACGTGGGATTCCATCCTAGGACCTTGGGATCATACCCTGAGCTGAAGGCAGATGCTCAACCACTGAGCCACCCAGGCGTCCCTTTTTTATTATTTTAAAGAAAGGTAAATTTTTGGGACTCCTGGGTGGCTGAGTGGCTGAGCGTCTACCTTTGGCTCAGGTCATGATCCTCGGGTCCTGGGAGCCTGCTTCTCCCTCTGCCTATGTCTCTGCCCCTCTCTCTATGTCTTTCAAGATAAATAAATAAAATCTTAAGAAAAAAAAAAGGTAAGTTTGTCGTTGGCTCAAGTTGTATCTTATTAGTCTGAAAATACTTTTTTTTTAAAAAGATTTTTATTTATTTATTCATGAGAGACACAGAGAGAGAGAGGCATAGACACAGGCAGAGGGAGAAGCAGGCTCCATGCAGGAAGCCCGACGTGGGACTTGATCCTGGGTCTCCAGGGTCAGGCCCTGGGCTGACAGCTGTGCTAAACCGCTGAGCCACCCATGGCTCATGGGGCTGCCCATGAAAAGACTCTTTCTATATTGGTGATGTCATATGGATTTTTCCCCCTGCTATTTATCTACCTTATTTATGGTGTTGTCTCACTTGTAAGCAGCTGGGTTCTCCTCTGGTGTCTTGCTTACACTGCCCTTCCTCATTCATTCATTCTATACTCATAAAAATGTTCACCAAGCACCTCTAACCCTTCACTTTTCTACATGTACATTTTAAACCTAAACCTCACTTTACTGCAAGGCTAAAGTAGGGATCTATTCCCTATTGCTATTTTCCAAATTCATAGCAACTAACCCAACACTCCTTTCATCTCTCTCCTCGGGTTTGAGACGACACCCGCATCACCTGCACAGTCTCATGTATACTTGGGTCTGTTTCTAGGCCGGTCCTGTTCAGCAGAACTTTCTGCAATGACAGGGGTGGGAATATTCTAGATCTCTTATCCCACAGAGTCACCACGCACCACAGGTAGCTACAGAACCCATGAAATGTGGCTACTGAGGCCGGGAAAGTGAGTTGTAAATTTTAGTTAACCTTCATTAACTTAAATGTAAAGAGCTACATGTTCTGGCATGTTCCAGCACAGTCTAGCAGCCTAGGCTTTCCATTGTGTCACCCAGAAATGCATCAAGTCCAGTAAGCCCAGTGGTCACGTGTGGCTCAGGAACCACTGCTCCCATCATTGATGCTTTACTGGCACCGACCAGCGGGCTTGATTCTTCCCTGCTATTCTTTCTTCTCAAAACTTTCTTGGTGGTGCACAGACATGCTGTCCTCACATAATACTAACATTTTCTTTGCATTTTTCACTCTCTTGCCATCATGAGTGCACACTGGCACTTCCAAAGGCTGTGCAACTTGCCACACTGCCCCAACCAAATGCAAAAGCGGTATGGAACCCAGCCCGCTTCCATTAAGCCAGACAATACAAAGGCTTGCAAACATGTAAAATGAGACAATATTTTCTAAAATACAGTTATTTTTCATAAAATATGCTCTGGCTCAAGTCCTAGTCCCACTCTACTTCCTCTGAGACACTTGTTGGGTGTCTGAGCTCAGAGCTGTAAAGTGAAGCATCCCACCACCACCCTGGCTAGTGGGCTAACAGGCCTGAGGATCCCCTGTACAGGTGACACCGGGCTGATGGCCTCCAGAGACTAACCCAGCAGCACTAAGTGGCACCACCAGCCTCCCATCCCACCGGACCCCACCCTACCCCACCCCATCCCATTCCATCCCACCAGCTTGAATTACTGGCTCTTCCCACCCCCCAGGCCTCATCAAAGCCACCCCACAGTTGGCCTCAAGGCAGTTTCCTGCAGCTGTGGGAGTCCAAGGACCTCACAGATGCCTGGGCCAGATGGGGCCTCGGGCAAGCTGACCTGAACCATATCTGAGAGATATGGGGGCCTAAGCATGGCCCCCATGCTGTTGGAGGGCAGGTGTCTCATCTTGGCTTTCCCCCAAAGGGAAGCTACTTTGCAAAATTCACATATTCAATAAGACATTGAACCTAGAAAGATCCTTGGGATGACCCTGCTTCATCAGCTAATTCCACAGTGAGGGAGCAGAGCCCAGGGAGGGAAAGTGGTTTGTCCAAGGCCACACAACAGGCCAGGGCAGGCAGGCAGCAGGAGTGGGGTGGAGGACATACACTCCGGAGTCGGAGAGACCAATTCCAAACTCTGTCCCTACACCCCCAGCTCTGGGCCTGCAGGCAGCGGTGCTCTCAGCCCCTCTAGCCCCAGGCCAGCCCCATCCCGGCCAGCATTCCTTCACTTCACTGCTGGGTTCCTAACTCTGTTTGTGGAGTGAGTGCTGAGATTCTGAGAAAGCAGCCAGGGAGCAAATCCCAGGGGGAGGGAATGCTCCAGGTGCCTTATCCCTCAGCACTTGAAGCAGCCCCACTCAGGTCAGACATGGGCTCTAGGCTGAAAAGCCTGACCCCCACCAACCGCAGGAAGCTGCCTGTGCTTAAGATGCTCAGAGCACCATCACATTTCAGCCACGCAGCCACACAGACCCCCTCAGGGGTGCCTCGCAGGGCCCTGCGCTCCCTCTCTGCAGCAGCCCAGTTTGCATCACTCAGGAACACCCACTGACCTGGTTGGCAAATAGTAGGTGGCACACGGTGGGGTCATGTGGGTCTTTCATGATGGCGCGGATCACCTGCAGCATCGGGGTGATGCCTGCAAAACAGCAGCCCCCCACATGCTGAGTGAGCACCGGCTGTATACATACACACACACCTAGTGCCAGGCAGACATGGGGTGATGTGGAGGGGTGGGGCCCAGACAACTGGCCTCCCGTTGCTTATAATCTGTGCCCAATCCCATGCCCTGCCCTGACCTGACCCTAACCCATGACATCTGCCTGCCAGGGATTCAACAAGGGTCTCGGGCTCGAATACCGGTTCCTCCGGCGATCATGCCGACAGACTTCACTGTCTTGATGATGGGGTTGGACTTCTTGTCTGGACGGATGGCAAACTTTCCTGGGGAGAGAAGGGAGAAGGAGTTGAGGAGACCCCGCTCTCACACATGCCATGCTTGGGGCTGGAGGGCTGGAGCACCTGCCCCTGCTGTGGGGGTCTGAGGGGCAGGCGGCCATCGCACAACCCCAGCAAGTTGGGGGCAGGGAGAGGATGGGATGGTGGCAATACCAGCCAAGAGGAGGTGGATGAGCCCTTTGTTCCCACCACAGATGGTGTGGGGGGCAGTGGTGAGGCTGGGGAGCCACAGGTGCTCTGGCTCAATGCCTTCACCTGTCTAGTTTCAAACAAAGCTGGTCTGTGGGCAGCCAGTCTGCAACCCTTGTGTTAGCCAGCTTCCCTCATACACAGCCAAGGAAACTGAGGCCCCAATGGAGACTGCATACCCAACAAAGGTCACCCACCCAGACAGCAGCAGGATCGGGGCCTGCAACCAGCATTCACTGTGCCTGCCGGGGCCTTAGGACATTCCAACCCAAATCACCTTTGCCCTGGTAGACCAGCAGTCCATTCGGGCCCCGGAACTCAATGGTGTCTCCAATCTTCATGTTTTCCAGGTACTGGGACATCTTCCCTCCAGCAGGAAACTTGGGATGGGTGTCTTTGAAGTAAACCTGCAAGACACACCTACTGTCCTCAGGCCCGGTTCCCAGGGTCATAGGGGTGAGCTTGGGCCGCGGAGGGAAGGAAGCACCTCCTCTTCTGGGGTTCTCTGCGGCCTTTGTGTGGCTCTCCCGTGTGCCCCGTCCACCCATCTAGACTCACCCATCTGCATGCCAGGCCCCCAGGAGTCTGCCTCTCCCTAACGTCCCCTCCGAACACAAAATGTCTGCCCCCTGAACAAGGCAACCAAGCCGAGGGCTTGATGTATTCATGTTCTGCCAAGAACTGTCTCTGTGCCCCTCCCGATGGGAGATTCCCACGCTGCCCGCACAGAAAAGGTTTTGGGAACTGGGCTCAGCCTCGCCCCTCCTGTGCATGTTCAGTTCTTTCCACTTTTAGTGTCATAAAAACAGTGTTCCTGGAGCAATTTTCCTCTCTGTCCTTTGGGAACGTCCCCTTTGGAAGAGGAAGTGCTAGGAGAAAGAGATGGGGAGATGGAGGGTGAGCGGCTCACCCTGTCCAGGGCTGGGAGTGGTGGGCCTCAAGGGGCCAGCAGGAGTGAGGGCAGAGAAAGAGTGGCTGGGGAGGGACAGGCAGCCCAAAAGGCCTGGCCTCAGGGGGAAAGAAGAGCTCATCCTGGCTACAGCACAGGGGAAGTGTCAGCGTGGGGGAAGTGCAGGGATGGGGGGTGAGGGGGGCAGAACTATGTGCAGGCCAGGACTCTGACCTTTGTCCAGGGCCAGGGAGGCCCTGGGGAGCAGGGAGGGAGGTCTCTGAGCCAGAGGGGGCCTGGTCTTCCTGAGTTTCCCATCCTCTACTTGAAATCCCCCCAACACCTTCTCCCCATCCGGTTAGAGTGATTCTAACAAGAACAGATGCTCGAACCTCATCACCTTCCCTTTCCTTCTGGACAAAGCCCCAAACTTTACTGGACCCCCAAGGCACTGCCTGGCACCCCAGCACCCCTCCCCTTCTTGTCCTCTGAAGCTTCTGTTCTTTGGCTTCATAGGTCTTCAAGCCTCCTTCTGACCTTAGGGGCCTTTGCACTGGGAAGGTCCTTTTCCATCCTGTCTGGTCAATGCCTCCTTGGCCTCCATGTCTTACCTCTCTGTCACCTGCCTGGGGGGAGCAGCTCCCATCACTCTACCCGCCCCACTCTGTGCCATTCCAGGTACTTAGTCTCAGTGTCCACTCTCCAGGCAAAGACGTGGGCCTAGGCACTCAGTACAATCTTATCTATTGACACCAAGCTAAGGAGGGACCCAGGCCCAGCTCCGTTCCTGCCCTCATGGACCCAGTACCACGCCAGGACCCTGTGAGTCCCTGTGAGCCCCTGTGAGTGTGGACCCCACACACTGCAGTTAGGACAGCAAGCCTGGGCCCCAGGAGTGCTGAACTGGGGTGCTCATGGCAGTTTGGGCCTTTACTGGGAGGGTCTCCAACTCCCCACCCCCACTGGCCTGGGGCTGGTTCACATTTGTTGGACATGTAATCTGAGAACGTGGATTGTTGGTTTTTTTTGTGTTTTTTTTTAAGATTTTATTTATTCATGAAAGACACACAAAGAGAGAGAGAGAGAGAGAGAGGCAGAGACACAGGAGGGAGAAGCAGGCCCCATGCCAGGAGCCTGATGTAGGACTCGATCCCAGGACTCCAGGATCACGCCCTGAGCTGAAGGCAGGCGCCAAACCGCTGAGCCACCCAGGGATCCCCAGAGAACGTGGATTGTTCAGTAACGCTTGTGCTTCTAATTTTCACAAAAACATACTATGCTATGGTTGTCATTTCTCTTTCCACTCAATGTGATTTTTTTTTTTAGAGAGAGAGCATGCGTGCAAGGGGGGAGGGGCAAAGGGAGAGAGAGACAGAGAGAATCTCAAGCAGACTCCAGGATCAGCATGGAGCCCGACTTGGGGCTCAATCCTACGAGCCTGAGATCGTGACCTAAGCCGAAATCAAGAGTCAGACAACCAACTGAAGCACCCAGGCGCCCAGAGTGATTCTGAAGATCCTTGCTGGTTGTTGTGTGTCCCTCTGATCTAATGGCTGCATCTCCTCCACGGTGTGCACCCACCTCCATCCTGATGCTTCCCAGCTCTCCAGACAATGGTCCTGAGCTCCTCGCACTACTCTTGAGGGGCCCTTGGGCTGTTTCCTAGGGAAACATGCTCAGGAAAGGACCAGCTGGTCCCAGAGGCTGTGTGACTGTAATGGAGCAGGGCCCCTGGGGCCATGACCAGGCACCCAGTGTCCTAGGCTTTGCTGGTCCAAGAGCAGGAAAGTGAATTCTGCACGAGCTGGTCAACATTACTGGTCTCTCTTGTGCAGACGATCTGTCCTTAGTTGAAGACACTCATCCTGAACCCCAGACCCTGCCCTCTGCCAAACCTCCACATTGGCTTTTGCTGGAAAACTCCAGTTTGCTATTCATTCAGAAACCAGGTGCAAGGGAGCACTGGGCCTTCAGAGAGCGGACTCCAGGGGATGCGGTCACCCCTGCCAACACGGTTCCGGCCCCAAGATCTCACCTTGATGACCAGGTCCACAAAGCCTTTGTCATCGTCGCTGGAGACGGGCGTGTAAGGCCGAATGACCAGGTTTCCATCGATCCGAGCTGAGAGGTAGATGTGCTGGCCTGCAGGATGAGGAGGGGTGATTACGGGAGTCCTGACGGGGCCACCGACTATCTCTGCAGGGTCCGCCCGGTCTAGTCAACCACTGCTCTGTGATCCGCCTTGCCCTCAAAGGCTGGCCTCGCCTGGGCTCCAGTGCCCACTTCCTGCCCCCACAGCGGTTCCCATTCTGTCCCAGCTTCCTGCTGCCACACCTACCTGCTACTTCCTGCTGGTGCCACTGCCAGGGACACCAGGGATTTCCCCTCTCATTCTGACACTCATCCTTGAAGGTCCAGTGTGGCTGTCACCTTGTCCCTGAAGCCTTCCCCACTCTCCCTATTTGAAGTGCAAAGCTCCTACCTCTGACCTAGTACCCTGCTACACTCGGGCAGGGGCAGGGCCGCACTCACCGACTGGGAGGCCCAGGATGTGCTGGGGCGACGGCAGAGCGAAGCGGAACCGCCGGGTGTCATGGTTGATAACCTGCAAAGAGGCCCGAGCTGTTAGATGCCACCCACGGCAGAGCAGCCCCCAGACCTCAGAGCTCCTCGCATCCCATGTAATTGAGAAGGGATACTGATGCCACATGTGACACACGATCTGCACACATGAGTGTGAGGGCACCGGAGTCAGCCACACACTGCGTGTGCCTCCATTCTCACTGGCTCAGGGAAGGGGAATGACCCACCCAGAGCCACACAGCAAAGTGATCAGAGTAGGGAAAGAGCTCAGAATCCCAAAGGGAGACTGCAAGATGGCCCAGAAAATCTTGGGGGCAAGAGGGAGGATCCATCCCTGTCATCAGCTCGGGCAGTGTCCTGGGTAGCAGGAAGACCTTGGGCCCTGGGTTGGCAAACTAGGGTCAGAGCGGACACAAGGCCCACATGCCCAGGCCTGGGAAACAAGAGGGGGGCTCATGACTACACTAATAGCCCCCCGAGAAATGGGATGGCCATGACTACAGCAAGGCTGCACAGAGCAGGAGGCATGCCAGCCCCACTGCACAAAAGGTCATGGCCACGGCTGAGACCCCCCAGCCAGGCCTCTATCCTGTGCATGGCCAATGGGTGGGCAGGTGGGGGCCATTTCCCCTCCAGAGTGGGGCAGAGGCTGGTTAAGGGCCAGGCTGGAGCGAGGAGGGAGCCAGACACCTGTTAAGTGGTCTTACACCAAGGTCTGGGAAGGCAAGCCTCCCGCAGTAAGCTGTGGTCTGAGCTGCAAACAGACCCCATGCCCCAGCTCCCTGAAGCCCCTGTGGGGTCTCCCCTGCAGCCGGGTATGCAGGGCCGTTCAGAAGGGCGGCAGCTGTCTAGCACCAGTTCATGTCCACACAAGACTAGGTGATGTGTCAAGGCCCACGGATGGACATAGTGCCGTCACCTGGAGGGAGGGCAACAGACTTCTCCAAAGGAATAGAGCATCATTCTGAGTGTCCCTGAAGTGCATGAGCAGAGCCAGGTGGCCTATCTCAGAAAGCCAGAGCCCAGCCACCACTTAGGACACAGGGCTTGGCAACCAGCGCTCTCTCCACCCCAGCAGCCCAGGCCTGAAGCTGCCTCCCCCAGAAACCTTGCCCCCAGGCCTCTTGGGAACAGATTCCAGAATTATCAATTAGTCCTGGGGCTCAGGGTCAGAAAATACGCCAGACAATTTTTGAAAGCAGCACAGAAATGAGGGAAGGGCACTGATAATTATTGTGCTGGAAAACACTAATAGGGACAGGGCACAGCAAAAGTTACGGGGCTAACATCTATGCAGGGCTCAGCTCCGTGCTGGCGTTCAGGAGGCTGCTGGCCACGATGAGCTGAGCAGCGGACCCCCAGAGCTTCAGGGGGACCCTGAGGATCAGCAGGTCCAGAAAAGGCAAGCAGTGGGGGCCTCCCTGTGCCCCTGGGGGAGCGTAGCAAAAATATCAAAAAGCAGACCCACCTGCTGACCTCCAAAAGCCACCACTAGGCTACGACGGGGAGGGGGCAGATTTAACTGCTAAGACATTTGCCACAGGCTTGATCAAAAGGGATTGATGGCGGGTCCACTGTGTGACATCCCTGGGAGGAAATACTAGATGGTCATCAAACATAATGAACCAGCTTTGGGGTAGACATGATCAGGTGTCCATGTGGAATGGCTGGGTAAAAAAATCAGGTTAAAAAAAAAGTGAGAGGGATCCCTGGGTGGCGCAGCGGTTTGGCGCCTGCCTTTGGCCCAGGGCGCGATCCTGGAGACCCGGGATCAAATCCCACGTCGGGCTCCCGGTGCATGGAGCCTGCTTCTCCCTCTGCCTATGTCTCTGCCCCCCTCCTCTCTCTCTCTGTGACTATCATAAAGAAATAAAAATTTAAAAAAAAGGGAGAGTAGGTATGTATACACAGACCTAAAACTCCACACATCACATGCGTGAATGTGATGCCCAAAAAAGGCTCACACTGGCCCACGAATGGGACCCTCTGCACAGGGGCGGCGTGGTGGGGCATGCGACACACAGGGTGTTAGTGGTTCACACGCAGAATTTCTATTATGAGCACACATCAATCATAGATTACTTCTGGAATGAAAATGAAAATTTAAAATATATATAAAACGTGGAGAAGATAAAGCTTGGTAAAAACCTCTGGGAAGTGGTGATTTTTTTTTTCTTATCTGTGGTTTTTGACTTGTCTGTGCCCTCCTGGTATGAAAACAGGCACACGTCTGGAACAGCCACCCGGAGCCCCGGGACCTGAGACTCTGTGTGGAGTCCAGGGTGGAGCCGGGACCGGGGCTCAGGGCCTGGTAGGTGACTTTCTCTTCTCCATGACTCAGATTTCCCTGCCACACCCTTCCGAGGCAGCTGCCAGTGGCCAGAAATAGCACATAGGAGGGGCTCTGATGAGGGGGAGTAGGGAGAGCAGCTGTTGGAGGGAGGCAAGGCAAAGGAGAGGATGGTTTTAAATCATGATCCGATGTTTGAAAAGGAAAAGGATCCGATGGGGAGGGCAGGAATAGGCCTTCCAGAAGGGCTGCAGGAGAGATGTGGAAGATACCTGGGTCCAACAAACACCTGGCTCTGAGTAGATGACTGTGGCGCTGGGGACGAGTCATTAGCTTGAAGAAAAGGTGCTGGGATGGGAAACACCCGGGATCAAGGTGGGGGTAGGTCTGAGTCTTGGTTCCACCCCTAACCCACAGTGTGATGTCCAATGCCCCCCTGGTGCTCTCTTGCCCTCTGTTTTCCCATCTGTTAAATGGGTGCTTTGACCCAAAAGTCCTGAGGGGTCCCTCTTGTTCTGGCCTTCTGTGGGATAGAGCGTGGTTTGGAGAACAGGCTCTGTGGTCAGAGATCTGGGCTCGAGACTCTGTGGCCGCTTACTGGGAACCTTAGAAAGGGACATCGCTTCAATGTCCCCATCTGTAAGGTAGACAGACAACACGACCTACATCAGAGGGGGGCCCATGCCCTGAGCACACAGTAGGTGACAGGAAATGCTGTGATGCAGCCAGGGAGGGAGGGGGAGGTGCCCCCATGGGCCCAGACCCTGCAGGCCCCACAGTATCCGGCACTCACCTCCTTGTCAATGAGCCGCAGTGGGTACTTGATGTCCGGGCTCTCAAGGGTGATGGCCGGGGTCGAGCGCTGGAACAGCTTCATGAGCAGGTTATAGAGGAACCAGACTGGGGAGAGGACCACGTGGCCCAACTGAAATGACAGGGACAGACCCATGAGGTCAGTGTCGGCACGGGGAGCAGCCTGCCACCTGCCTTTCCCGCGAACACACCAGTCGGTTCACACCTCCAGGCCCCTGGTCACGCCATCCCCTCTGCCAGGAGCACCCTCTCCTCACAATCTTCATCCAGGGAACCAACCCCAGCATCCATTTCAGTGCCGGCTGGGAGAAGTCACAAAAATCAGGCACATGAAACCTATCACTGTATTCCTAAGTCACTGGAAAAGCTCTATTTCCCAGAGGAATCAGGACAAAGAAAGCTACATAACTAACTGAGCATGTAACCCTTTTCACTTTGGCTGCCAGGAAGCTCAGAGTAAAGTTCACAAGTAATTGTGCTTAGTCTTGAGCACTGTGTATCTGTGCTCCCTCTCTCCTTCCCCCCCTTTTAGTCAATTTCCCTGGTCCTGTTAAGTGATGTCAAGTGCCAGCTCGATTTAGACAAACTCCTGAGCCCTGGAGTTCTGCCTTCAGAAGCGAGGGACAGTTGAGGCAGTGAACTGGGCAGTGGGGAGCTCTGTTCCTTGTTGGCTGTGTGATCCTGGGTAAGTCCCTTCCCTCTCTGAACTGATCTGGACCAGGTGATCTGCAAGGTCCCCTGAAACTCGGAGAGTCTGCCGCTCAGCACCATGATGAGCCCCACGCAGGGGCTAATCTCATGAAACCCTCAGAGGGTTGTCATCACCACTTTACAGATAAGCAACAGCTCACAAAGCTTCAGCAACTTGCCCACAGTCACACAGCTGGCAGGTGGGGAGCTGCAATTTTTTTTTAAATATTTTATTTATTTATTTGAGAGAGAATGAGTGAGCGAGAGAGCAAGAGCCAGGGGAGGGGCAGAGAAGTAGACTTTCCACTGAGCAAGCAGCCCGACTCAGGACTCGATCTCAGGACCTTGGGATCATGACCTGAGCTGAAGGCAGATGCTTATCCGGCTGAGCCACCCAGGTGTCCTGAGAGCTGCAGTTTGAACCTGAGTCTACTTGCTTCCCCAATAACACTCTTAAACATCTGGCCCACACTCACCCTGCTGTGTGACCTTGAGAGGCTCTTCCTTGTCAGCTCCCTGCCCCCCACATCTCAACCTCGCAAAGACCCTAAGAGGTGGCTTAGAGTTTTATTTTTAATTTTTTTTAAGTAGACTTCCCCCCCCCCAAGATTATTTATTTATTCTAGAGAGTGAGAAAGAGAGAACAGGAGTATGGGGTGGAGGGGCGGAGTGGGAGGAGAGAAAATTCCAAGGAGACTCTGTGCTGAGCATGGAGCCCCACGCAGGCTCGATCCCACAACCCCAAGATCTTGATCTGAGCTGAAACCAAGAGTTGGATTCTCAACCAACTGTGCCATCCAGGCTCCAGTTTAGATTTTTAAAAAACAGAAAACCCAACTCCCATGGCCAGATAGCTCACTGCTCAGGATATTGCAAAAGAACACCCTTGCAAAGGAAGACAACTGGTCACTTGCCCTTTCTAGCTGTGTTTGTCCTTTGGCAAATCATTTAGCCTCTCTGAGCTGTTTCTCCATCCGTGAAATGGGATCTTTTCATCTGCTTCTAACCTTGAGGAAACAGGGAGGCCCATTCTCCAGGATAACTGGCCAAGACTCCTCAAAAATGTCAATGGCACAAGAAACAAAGTAAGATCAGAGAACTGGTCCAGATTAAAGGAAGCTGTGGTTGGTTGAGTGGTGGCTCCCAAAAGATATATCCACCCAGATCCTGGTAATTGACCTTGCTTGGAAAAAGGGTCTTTGTAAAGATGCAACCAAACCAAGAATCTTCAGAGGAGATCACCTGGAATTATCTTGGTGGGCCCTAAGCCCCGTGACAAATGTCCTATAAAAGAAAGAAGACTCAGAGGATACATGAAGACAGAGACAAAGACTGGAGTGAGTGGCCACAAGCCATGGAAGCTAAAAATTGTTGACAGCCACCAGAAGCAGGAAGAGGCAAGAAGGACCCTCCCCGAGACTTCAGAGAGCATGGCCCTGCCAACACATTAATTTCAGACTTCTGGCCTCCAGAACTGTGAGAGAATAATGTCTGCTGTTTTAAGCTTGTTTGTGGTGACTTTTATAGTCCTGGGAAACCAATAGAGAGGCCAAAGAGACAGCCCCGGAATGTGATGCGTGGCTCTGGATTAAATCCTGGGCCAGAAATAAAATAGTTAGAAAGGGCAATATATATATATTTTTAAGATTTATTTAATATTTGAGAAAGAGACAGAGAGAGAGGGCACCAGGCAAGGGGCAGAAGGGGAGGGAGATAATCTCCAGCAGACTCCCTGCTGAGCAAGGAGGATGACCCTTGGGGGCTCAGTCTCACGACCCCGAGACCCCCGAGACCGTGACCTGAGCCAAAATCGAGAGTTGGATGCTCAACTGACTGAGCCAGCCAGGTGCCCCTATAAAAGGCAATAGTGAGACAACTGGTGAAATCTGAATTAAGGCCCATGGATTAGATAAGAACATTGCATCAATGTTACTTTCTTTTTTTTTTATTTTATTTATTTATTCATGAGAGACACAGAGAAAGAGGCAGACACATAGGTAGAGAGAGAAGCAGGCTTTATGCAGGAAGCCTGATGTGGGACTTGATCCCAGGACTCTGGGATCACACCCTGAGCCAAAGGCAGACGCTCAATCGCTGAGCCACCCAGGCGCCCCTCAATGTTACTTTCTTGATTAGATCACTGCTCTGTAATTAGGCAACAGAATGTCCTTGTTCTTAGGAGATACACACTAAAGTATTTAAGGGCAAAGGGGCATCGTAGCTGTAACTTATTCTCAAATAGTTAAAAGATACACACACACACATACACACACACACACACCATAAAGCAAATATAGTGAATGTTAACACCGGGTCCATCTGGGTAAAAAGTATACAAGAGTTCTTCATACATGATTGCAACTTTACTGTAAGTTTGAAGTTATGTCAGAAAAAAAAAAAAAGTGGGGGTGGGGTAGGGAGGAGCTCACACACTGGTGGTCCAGAGGCTGAGATCCAAAGTCCACACAAAACACTGCTTCTCCAGAAAGCTGTCTCACATTTTGTTCTCCATCCAACCATCAGTAGTACACCTCCCCGACTCCAGTTCTCTCAGCAAATGATCATGTGTTCACCTTATCATAATCCTACAAGTTCCTCTTTTTGTCTTGGCTGCCAGGAAGCTCAGAACCAAGCTCTTGGCTTGCATGGAGGCCTCTATGCTTCCTTTGTGGGCTTCCTGAGGTAGTGTGTTCTGCAGAGCATTGACCTGGAAGTGGCCCCCTGCTCTATTCAGGGCTGGGTGAGAAGACCCTTACCTCTCAAGGCCCACCCGCTGCTCCCTGGCTTCCCATAAGCCTTGCCGGGATTCCTGCACTTTCTCTCAACCCAGGTAGGGTGCCCTGGCTGAGTACCCGAGGCCTCTCTGAAGCCTCAGTGTTCTCATCTGCAGAAGAGAGATAAGAGCTACTGCTCTGCCCCAGGGGTGCCCAGATCACAGAAGAACATGGGTGCAGGGATCCCTGGGTGGCGCAGCGGTTTGGCGCCTGCCTTTGGCCCAGGGCGCGATCCTGGAGACCCGGGATCGAATCCCACGTCGGGCTCCCGATGCATGGAGCCTGCTTCTCCCTCTGCCTGTGTCTCTGCCTCTCTCTCTCACTGTGTGCCTATCATAAATAAATAATAATTAAAAAAAAAGAACATGGGTGCACACACAGGGGCTTTTCCTGCTTCCCTCAGTGGGCCTCTACCACCGGGGAGATGGGATACCCAGGTGAAGGAGGGGCAGAGCACAGAGATCCCAGGGCAGGCCTGGCCGCTGTTCCCCAAACCGGCCCTGCTGCTTCCTTGCCGTGGCTATGGCTACGGGCCCTTTGTTGGGCTCAGAACAATGTGCCTCTCTCCCAGGCAGGGCCTCCAGGCCCGTTTTAGAGCTCTGCTCTGTGACTAATGGGTCTGAAGCAAAGGCCCCCGGGATCCTGCCAGGGCTCCCCTCTCCAGCCCCACCCATCACACAGCCAGGGCGGGGCCGCTGCCCATTTATCCGGCACCCACCGTATCCCAGGGACCACTCAGTGTTTCCCCTACCCTGGGTCCCGTTAAAGGGCCTGGTTGGCAGCCCTGGGCTCAGGGCTCGGGAGGCCGAGGTCTGAAACCCCAGCTCAGGATCTCAGGACAGATTCTCAGCCTCTCCAGGCCCCGGCCTTCCTCCAGTGCAAGAGGATGGTTCCAGCCAGGGCTGGGGGGACAGACAGGAAGATGGGAAAGGCCACACACACAGCAGATATGGCTAACGTTTCCAAGCTGGCACTGCTCCGAGAATGGGATGTGAGCAACCTGGGGTGATCCTAATTTCGACCTCGGGCCATAGGTGCCGTGATTATTATCACAAGCTTACAGATGAGGAAACAGACCCAGAGAAGGTCTGTATCTTGCCCCAAGTCGCACCAAAGCCAATCCACAGAAGGCCACACTCACAAGGGATATTACTGTCCCTGTTTCTCAGATAACTGACTCGCGTATGATCCTACAGGAAGTCGGAGTGAAGCCAAGACCCAGCCCCAGGCCTGTCTAGCTCTTCCTAAGCCACCTCCCAGGACAGGCGCCCTCGCTGTGCCCCAGCCACAGAGCCCAAGGCCCAAATCCCACTCACTCCAACGCTCTGATATCCTGCCTCCCACAGTGAGGCCCCAACTGCCAGACCGGCAGGGCGCCCACTCTGTCCTCAAACACTCACGACAGCTGCCTACTGCCCACATTCAAGGCCCCTCCCACATGGCTACAACTCTGGCCAAGTGTCCTTCTTGCCCCTGGCCTTTGCATCCTCTTCTTTCTGCCCCAAATGCCCTTCTTCTTCCCTTATCCAAACAGGAAACTGCTATTCAACTTTCAGAGCCCAATTCAAATGTCAGATCTTCCTTGGCTGGCCCCTCCCTGGCTAATCAGGCCTTCAGCAGAATTCCGCAGCCCCTGCTCCCCTCAGCAAACTCCGTGGGGTGAGGAGATTCTGCAGATGCTCTGCTACGGGCCCCTCCGTGTCAATCAGAGAAGCCATATCCATTGGGAACGCTGTTTAGGGAGAAAGTGGAGTTACACTTGTAGGAAATCACCATAGTAGGGAGTCCTGGAGATGAACTGACTCAATGGTCAGAACCAGTTGGGAGTCGTGTTTGGTGCTCCCTGGAGTTTTATTTTTCCCCAGCGCAGCTGTTTAAGTGCAGAGCCAAGTTTAGTTAATAATGTAAGACCCCTGGCCTGCAGCTCCTAGCATAATTGGCAAAGAACCTTCCCTTGCTTCACTGCCCCACAGCCGTGGGAGACAGGCCGACTGCATTCTTCATTTGACAAATGAGGAATCTGAGGCCCAGGGTGGAGTCTGGGCTTGGGTTCCCAATTTGCTGTCACTTCTCTCTCACCTGCCCCAAGCCCGCCAACACTGACTATGAAAAAGATTCATAAGTCGACAGCTCTGAGGGCAAGTCCTGAACATGGGCTGCAGCCCTCCTACAGACCTTCCGGATGCCCAGTACCAGCCTCGGGTACCCTGGATGCCAGCCTTGGTTCAAATGCCTAGGCCAGCGCCCACGTGTGGTCACAGCTGACACAAAACGGCAGACCCTAGAGCAGAAGCCCCAGAAGGGTGGGGGCATCTGTGTCTCATCACCACTGCACCCCCAGGGCTCAGAGCAGAAACACTCAGTAAATATTTGCGGGTAAGTTTGTGAAGGGAAAACAACAACCCCCATCCCCCCAGGTCTCTCTCTGGCTCTTTTTATTTTGTCTGGAAGTTTCAGGAACCAGGGCAAGAGGCCAGATCCATCCCATGCAAGCACGGGGCACCAGCTTACCCTGTTCATTCTAAAAACCCACAGCGCTCCAGAGCACAGGCCAAGGTGGTTAGGGTCCTAGCTTCGATCCTGTTAGGCACACCCACCTTCCAGAGGTATGGTAGCCTCAGTGCCATGGCCGGAAGGAGCTGCTCACGTGGGCAGTTGATAAATGTCAGCCTTCCTTCCAGTCTCCACTCCCAATAACTGGGCTCCGCAGAGCAACCTACAGCTGCTTTGCTCATAATTATCTCACATAATCCTGAAGCCTGGGAGACGGGAGCTATTACCGCTCCCATTCCAGGTGAAGAAGCACAGGCCCGGGTGACAGAACTGGCCCAAGGGCCAGGATTTGAACCCAGGCACCTGGCTCCAGTCCACGCACTGAGTCACCGTACAAGACTGCCTCTCCATGCCCGCGGGCACCATGTGGCCAAGAGAGAAGCAGAGGTGGACTTTGCATACGTACAAATTCCTATCTGGGGAGGCAGCTGTGGGCAGTTAGTCCTTCAGGCCATAAACCCCAGTGAGCACACCTACCAGGGCTCGTGCTGGATTCAAGGGACGCAAGCCAGGGGACTCTGCCCCTGAGGAGCTCAAGCAGTGAGGAAGACAAGACACAGAGGAAAGGGTATAGTGGAAAGGTAAAGGCTTCATCTCCAGAAAACTGAAGCCTTTACCAGATTCACAGAGGGCAGGGATGCCCCGTTCCCACGCCTTGGGGGTGGAGGAACTCTGCACCCCACTCCTGGCCCACAGCACCACTCCCACCCCTGAACGCAGTGGGCAGAGTAAACAGCAAGCAGAAGGCTGAAGCCAATGCCCCACCCCAGCTCCTCCTCAGCCAAGCTGCCTCGTACACACACACTCATGTACACGCACGTACGTATGTACACAACACCATGTCACCACAGCCACTCGGAGGTCTAGGGGAGAGCTGCCTTCCAGGCCTTGACCTGACGCTCCCCAGGCCATGCTCTGCCCACTGGGGAACCCACCACCTGCCTTTCCTCACCTCTGCTAACAGAATGGGGAGAGGGAATAGGGTCAGCCGGAGTCCCAGGATGTCTCCAGGGAGCCCCCAGCACCCCCCCACCATTGCCTAGGGGCCCTGCTACCCCACAGAGGGCACCCAGCCCTACTGCTCACCCTTCCCTGTAATTCCCTACTGGGACCGTGGCCTCCACTCCACCTAGGTTAGATCTGAGTGGGCAGGCTTACCCTCTCCAGGTGCCAGCTCCCTGTGTGGAGGCTTACCTGCCTGTCGCCCACCAGCTATCCTGCTGGAATCTGAATGTCCCCCTCCTTCCTGGTCCCCTTCTCAGGAAGTAGAAGGAAGTGGGAGGGAGTGGAGGAAGTTCTGCAGCTGGGGGGGGGGAACCCAGGAGGAGGGGCAGGTGCACAGCAGAGTTGCTCTCAGCAGAGGACATGCAGCCCTGCTTTCCTGGGCGAGGGGTGAGGGCCACAGACTAGGCACAGAGCTGCTGGGGGTGGGTGGGGGTGGCGGGGTAGTGGCAAGCCTGGGACTCTACCTGTAGTGGTGACCTGTCAGGGCCCACTGAGCACTCACGGCCGTGCTGGGGGCAGGGGAGCCACAGTCCCAGATGGCAGGCCAATCCCTCAATGTTCCCCCCAGGGGGCTGGCAGACTGGAGCGCCAAGCCCTCAGCTGGGGCCCCCTGGAGTATTATGGGAGGCGACCTCCTGCAGAGCCTGCACATCCCAGATAAGACGTCTGGTGCCCAGAGCCCAGGGGCCGAGCTAGCCTCCCGCAGACCTTGTGGAGCCTGTGCACCAGGAGGCCTAGCTAGGGTCTGCTGTGGGCATTTTGGGCCAATGGGGATCCCAGCAGGGCAATTTCTGCCCATCTCTTGGACAGAGGCGGCCGTAGAGTTGGTGAGTCTCTCCTGACTCCCAAACAGGGCTCTGCCCCTCACAAGGGGGTTACCAGGAGGCCTTGGCTGTTCAGCAAAAATGTATGGAGCGGCCACGTGCTGGGGACGCAGTGACAAATGAAGGTGAGAAGCACTGAGGGAAAACAGAGCAGGGGATCCCTGGGTGGCTCAGCGGTTTAGCGCTGCCTTTGGCCCAGGGCGTGATGCTGAAGTCCCGGGATCGAGTCCCACGTCGGGCTCCCTGCATGGAGCCTGCTTCTCCCTTTGCCTGTATCTCTGCCTCTCTCCCTCTCTCATGGAGCCTGTTTCTCCTTCTGCCTGTGTCTCTGCCTCTATCATGAATAAATAAAATCCTTAAAAAAAGAAAACAGAGCAGGGGTGAGGGTCAGTGGGTTGTGTGATGAAGGGGCATGAGGACGTTACTCTGAAACTGCGTAATGCCCACAGGTTCGCCCAAGGTGGGCAAGATTGCTCCTTGATCTGAATGCCCCCCCCCACTCCCCCAGTCCTGGGCTGGGCCACAATTTCATGAGCAAATACCCAGACCAAGAGGCCTTTTGCCTCATAGTGAGGAGGAGCCTCACAGAGCCAGAGGGAGGAGGCGGGTGCCCTCCAAGTCCCAGGCGCCCGGGGTGGAGGTGGCGGCGGGGGCAAGTGGCTCTGGGCCTGATCCTCAGCGCCAGCCCTGGGGCCTGCTCCCCGTGCCCAGCCAGCCCCAGGGACCAGAGGACGCATGGGGGGTGGGAGGCTGCCCTCTGGCTACAGCCTCCACGAGGTGCAGAGGTGCACAGCCCCCAGCCCAGCCACTGGGGCCTTTGAGAAACCCAGGAGAGGAGGCAGGCTGTGGGGAGGGACGGAGGCCCTGGGCTCACCCAAAAGGGACAGCAGGGTGGTGGACTTTGGAGGCCCAGTTTCAGGCCCTGCCAGGCACGGACAGGTGGCCAAATGCGTGTTGCACTTCTGCATCTGTGAAATGGGGCTCACAAGTCTGCCAGCTTTGTAGGTTCATGGGAGAGCCAGAGCCCAGGCGGGGCAGGAGACAGGGTGCAGCGCTGTCACTGCGGCTGGAGGTGCCACAAACCCTGCCCTCCGGCCACATCACCTACACACTCTACCCCCTCCCGCCTCGGCCTGCTCTCACACCCGGCCTCTCCCAACACCTGTGCCCTCACACGCACCCGGCCTGGGGCTCACGCTGCATGCCACACCCACTTCCTAGAGTCACACTCGGCCACACACATGCGCTCTCAAACTCATGCACGCTCACGCCTCACACCCCGTCACTTCATACACTCCATCAGCCGCAGAGGCGTGTTCACACTCCCGTGCACTCTGCACACGCACACGTCACACCGCGTCCGGTCGTGTCACCTACTCCCACTCGGCACACACGTGCGCTCTCACATTCACGCACACCCTCGGCCTCGCCCTCCAACTTTCCCCGCCGCGCCCTCTCCCACCCGCACCCGCACCCGCACGGGCTCCGGCGCGGCCTGCTCCTCCCTCCGCTGGGCGGGACCCCGCGGGACCCCGGCGGGGGATGCGGGGGGATGCGGGCGGGCGGGGCGCCCAGTGCCCTCGGCCCGGTGCCCGCCCCAGGCCCCCGCCGCCCGCATCCCCCCCACCGCGAGGGCTGGGTCCCGGTGACGGAGGGGCGGGGGGCGGCGAGCCAGGCGTCCGCGAGGCAGGGGCTGTGGGGCCGCGTGGGGTCTCCGCGCCCCTCCCGCCTACCGTGCTCAGCTGGGCCCCCATGGTGGCGCCGCGCTCGCTCCGCCGCCGCCGCCGCCGCCGCCGCCGAGACAGCCGGGCCGCCGCGCCCAGGCCCCGCCCCCCGGCGCGTCACCCGAGGAGGGGGCGGGGCGAGCGCATGCGGCGGCCCCGCCCCTCACGCCGCCGCGGGGAGGGGGCGGCGGGACCCCGCGCCTCGCACGTGGCGGCTCCCCGCGGCGCGCGCCTGGGCTCCGGCGGGGGGCGGGCGGAGGGCCTGCTCCGGGTCCCGTTAGTCACGGGGGGGGGGCGCCCCCGCTCGGTGGGATGCGGAACAGAAAATCCGGAAACCACCGGCCACGCCCGCCCTGCACTCCGGCGGCTGCGCCTGGCCCCGGTGCTGGCTCCACCCGCCTTCGCGTTCCCCGCGCCTAGGACCTCGCGGGCCCCTGCCTCCGGGCGCTGCCCCCACCTGCCTCTGGGCCAGCCCGGCTTACTGCTGCAAGGCCTGCCCGCCCCCGCCCCCGCCCCCGCCCCCGCGGGCTTCCTGGCGCTTCCCTGCGGCTGAGGGCACCCCACCCTGTTCCATGGGGGGGTGGGAGGGCTGCCCCCAGGCCCTCCGCATCCCAGGGCACTGTAGGCTCCTTGAGGCAGGACTTTGTTGTTGTTTAAGATTTGTTTATTTGAGAGAGAGAGAGAGAGAGCCTGAGTGGGAGGAGGTGCAGAGGAGAGGGAGAGAATCCTCACGCGGTCTCCCCACTGAGCATCTAGCCGGATGGGGCTCAATCCCAGGACCCTGAGGTCATGATAGGAACCGAAATGGAGAGTCTACTTAACCGACTGAGCCACCCAGTTGCCCCGGACTCTGCTTTGAAGTCCCCTGCATGCCTGGAGCCTAGCATATAGTGGTTGCTCAATAAATACTTGTCAAATAAATAAATAAATAAATAAATAAATAAATAAATAAATACTTGTCAAATGAATGCATTTAGCAGCTAGTACCTCCTCTGTTGTAGGCCCATGCCGTCCAGAGGGAGGCTCTCTGGCTTGGCCTCCTAGAATGGTCTTGGACCTGGATGTGAGCTCCTGGTAGTCTGACTGGTCCGACTGCCAGGGTGACACATTCCTGCCATGTGATGCTGGCCAGGCAGAGGAGGACTGGGCCTTCCAGGCAGAAGGAGCTGGGAAGAACATGGAGGTAGAAATCAGTTAGGTATGGTTTCAGTTTTACGGATCACAATTTTCTTCTTCTTCTTTTTTTCTTCTGTAATCTCCATGCCCAACCAGAGACTCAAACTCATGACCCCGAGATCAAGAGTTGCATGCTCTACTGACTGAGCTAGCCCAGTGCCCCTTATTGATCACAGTTTTATTAATTTTTTTTAAAGATTTATTTATTCATCAGAGACACAGACTAAGAGAGAGAGGCAGAGACATAGATAGAGGGAGAAGCAGGCTCCTTGCAGGGAGCCTGATGTGGGACTCGATCCCAGATCCCGGGATCCCAAACGGAACCAAAGGCAGGCATCCAATCACTGAGCCACCCAGGCGTCCCTGATCACAGTTTTTTTTTTTAATTTATTTATTTATGATAGTCACAGAGAGAGAGAGAGAGGCAGAGACACAGGCAGAGGGAGAAGCAGGCTCCATGCAGGGAGCCCAACATGGGGCTCGATCCTGGGTCTCCAGGATCACACCCTGGGCTGAAGGCGCACTAAACCACTGAGCCACCCGGGCTGCCCTTCTTCGTGTTCTTTAATCATGATGATTATCACAAATGTGGACATGTGATATTGGGAGTTTGTTCTCCTTATGAAATTTGGAGGTGACTAACTTGGCTTTCTCCTTTTGGTTATAGGCCATGATCCTTACAGGATCCTCACAGGCCATGAAGAATTCCCACACAGGGCTTTTCCTCAAAAGATTCATCCCTTAAATGGCATTAAATAAACAAAAAGTTAAATATCATTTAAATTAAGGCTATAAACGCTAGTCTAGCAAACAATCTTTACACAATCAGAATTAAGATGGAATCTATTTTTCAGCCTTATATTATTATTTAAATTATTAGAAGCATTTGTAGACTCAAAGAGGAAATAGCTTTCCTCCTAAGGTTATCACATTATTACTGCCTCTTTTTTTTTTCCAGAGATTTTATTTATTTGAAGAGAGAGCAGGAGTAGGGAAAGGGAGTAGCGAACTCCCCACTGAGGAGGGAGCCTGTTATGGGGCTCCATCCCAGGACTCTGAGATCATGACCTGAGCCAAAAGCAGACGCTTCACCCACTGAATCACCCTATTACTCCCTTTCTTAAGATCGTATTAACTAAAAAAAAAAAGAAGAAGAAGAAGAAAAAAGATCATATTAACTATCCCCTTCTCTCTTTATCTGTTTGAATCTCTTCATTTTTTTCTGTATATAAAATTAACATTGTTAATAATCCACATAAATTGTTGAAGCATTTTGCCCTCACTGTAATAAATCCTGTCTGTGTTAACACCTCAACCCACTAACACACTTCAGTATGTAAAGCACAAAAGGAAATTTCACTCCTAGTTACATCTGGAAGCTCCCCTAGAAAGTGACTCACCTCCCAGGCCTGGCCTCACACGGTGTTGGCTCCTGCTTGGCTGTGTGACAGACCCTGGCCACACATGACCTCAGGGAGGCCAGATCTGGTGTACAAGCAGACAAAATTGAAGCTGAAGCCAAAACTGGAGGCACATTTTGTCTGCTTGGGGCACCCAGATGGTCAGGACATTTGCTTATAAGCTCTGGATGGTGCTAACTGCAGCATCATGAGACCCCTTGCATCCACATCATCCAACTAGCTTGGTATCCAGGCCCAGCAGTCCTGTCCTCTGGCTGCCCCCAGCCCTGAAAAGAGACTGGTCCTGGTGCATTTATTTTGCCCAGTTATTGATCTGGGCCTCAACTCCCCACAGAGTTCCTTCCTGGGGTTTGGATCTGCTTGCAATGGCTGAGTGAGGCCCCAGGCCTGCTGCTATACACTATTAGCACTGTAGTGCTAATACACTATTACAATTCCTATCCTCTTTCCTCTGAGCTCCTCTCTCCCCTCCTGTCTGATCCTGTGTGCATCTTGGGAGGTGGGATGTCTCTAAGGGAGTGGTAGGCAGTGCAGGTTGAGGGAGTTGTGGCTCTGTTTCTCTGGAGAGGGAGGGATAGATTTCTACCCAGACTCCGTGGGAATTGCTTACCTCTGCAACAGGACTATAAAATGGCCACATGTGGGGGAGCAGAGAGAAAAGCTAGGATAACATTGATTAGGTGGCCCCCTCCTGTTCTTGAGACGAAAACCAAGTGGGTAAGTTTAGCTGCCATTCACTGTGTGACAGGCTCAGGCTTTCCCCTTTCAGGGTCCTCCTCTGAGAAAGGATGGCTGCAGGTGTGGGACAGGGCACGGGTCTTCAAGACCGCTTCTACTTCTGATATTTTATCTCTGAGTGCCCTCAGACTTGGAAAAATACCCAAGGTTCAGAGAAATTATAAGAATAGTACAAAGAGGGGTGCCTGGGTGGCTCAGTCGTTTAAGAGTCCAACTCTTGATTTCTGCTCAGGTCATGATCTCAGAGTAAGCCCCGAGGTGGGCTCCCCACTCAGCAAGGAGTCTGCTTGGGATTCTCTCTCTCCTTCTCCCTTTGCTGCTCCCTCTGCTTGTGCTCTAGAAATAAATAAATAAATAAATAAATAAATAAATAAATAAATAAATAAATAAATAAATCTATCTTTACCAAAAAAAGAATAGTACAATGGACGATCAGATTCACCAGCTGTTATCGTTTGACCTCTTTCTCTTTCTCTCCCCCTTCTTTGCTCTCTGTTTTCTTTTGCTGAATCATGGACAGTTAGTTGCAGATATGTGACCCTTCGTCTCTAAATACTTCAGCACATTTGTCCTAAGAATAAGGCCATTCTTTTCCATATCACTGTTAAATGATCAAATTCAGGAAATTTAACACCCATACAACACTGGTACCTAGTCCCCAGTCCACATTCCACTTGCTCCAGCTGCCCCTGTGATGTCGTCTCCAGCTATTATTTTTTCTGGCTCAGGTTCTAATCCCAGGTTAAACATGGAGTTTACTTGGCAGGTCTCTTGAGTCCCCTCTAGATCAGAGGGCAGGCGACCAGACTGTTTTCCTGTTGTTACCTGCCAGGTCTATCTACAATAAGGTACTAAGTGAATGTCCTAATCCCCCACATTGGTTTTAGCATTTGTTGATGCTCCTTGGATGAATCAGTTCTCATTAAGGTGGTTTAACTGGTTTACAAAATGCTTTGGGGAAAGAAAAAAAAAAAAAAAAAAAAAAAAAAACCTTTGTCCTAATCATTCCTGAAGGTCCTTTAGGGAGCCAAAGAACAGAAACTACCCCACAAGCCCATTTGCCTTCTGGGCATGGCCTGTTAGCTGAGAATCCCCTACTCTACTCAGGTGTTTGATCCATGAGAGAGGCTGAGAGGGTAGAGAAACTATTAGTTTCATTTTATTTTATTTTTAAGATTTTATTTATTCGTGAGAGACAGAGAGAGAGGCAGACATAGGGAGAGGGAGAAGCAGGCTCCATATAAAAAAAAAAAAGAAGAAGAAGAAGAAGAAGCAGGCTCCATGAGGGGAGCCCGATGCAGGACTCGATCCCAGGACCCCGGGATCAGGACCTGAGCAAAGGCAGACACTCAACCACTGAACCGCCCGGACACCTCTAGTTTCATTTTATAGAAGAGGAAATTGAAGGCCAGAATGAGGAGAGACGTGGGCAGCAGTGGAGCAGCTCCTCCCAAGGAATTTCTGGGCTCCAACCCCTTCCAAGGACCAGGATAGGAGTTTGGAAAGGAGGCTTTCAAGCAGCCTGCTGGGCAGAGTTTCAGGGTCCAGATTGGGGCTCTCTAATCCTTGACAGTCCCCCTCGCCCCTATAAACTGTGTAGGACCTAGGTTGCCAGATTTGGCAAATAAAAATATAAGGTGCCCAATTAAATTTGAATTTCAGCTTAACGATGAATAATTTTTTAGTATAAGTATGTCCCAAATAAAGCACTTAAACAGATTTAAGAACTAAAACCTCATGATGTTGGGACACCTGGGTGGCTCAGCGGTTGAACGTCTGCGTTCGGCTCAGTTCGTGATCCCG